GAGGAGCATGGCAAGTGCTTATGAAGCACAGAGGAGTCTTGGCCCTTTGCCCGACGCACCTGGGATCAGACTCAGGATGTTGCAAACTAATTTCTTTCATATATATATTTATTTATTTTAGCTTTTCTTACCTTCTGCCTCAGTGCAGTCGTTGCAGTGGTCAGAATGTTGCAGCTTAATTGGCTGAGTCTGATGGGCTTGACATGACACTCAACCCAACAAATCCTCATGACCCTCTATGAGCGTGTACTGATACTGTTATTTTAAGACTCACATCAATTCTAATTCTCTTTAGGCTGTTAAGAAATACTGAAGAAATTGACTGATAATTTCTGGGAAGAGCTTAAAATCTGCTAAGTAAATATTCTAAGGAAATTGCCATATGCAGCTGGCTGTTCTTTGTTTTACTCAGTGGGCTTATTCTGTTTCTAAACAAATACTTGACAGTTTATCTTCACCTGCAAATACATACATACAAACATACCTTTGCATATTCTATATCTGAGTATTTAGAACATAAATTCTAATTATGCCAGCTCCTACGTGTCCTAAGTAGTATGTATCCTGCAGTATGCAGAAGCATTCTATATCCTTTTCTTTCTTTTCATTTTTTCATATTTTTTAGAAGTATCCAATAAGATACCCAAGGCCACTAAGCACGCTGGTAATGCCCAACTTCTCCTTTTTTGCAAACGTTTTAATGAAGTTCAGAAGGGTTGAATACAAAGCTGTGCAGCTGGGATGTGCAACTCTGCGGGGGAAGTCCTCAGGCAGCAAGTTAGGTACAAGCTGGCCCTGGCTGCAAAGGCAGCCAGCAGCACCAGAGGTTGTTGGTTGAACAGCCTTTTGTGAAAAGAAGTTGTCCTTCTCTTCTTGGCACTTTCTAGATGATAGGTAAACATTACATATGAGAACGACATTTATTACCTGGAAGGATTTTAGCAGCGGGCTGCCAAGGTGCTCAGGTGTGTTGGCCCTGTGAGGAGATGCTGAGGGTGCAGAATTAGTTCACGTGGATCCCAATGTATGCAACAGCAGCCTTCAGTTCCTACAGAGAAGGAAACATAAAGACAGACTCCTTATGATGATGCTTGGTGGGAGAATGCAAGTTAGCAAACAGAAGATGAAGAAAGAATCACACCATATATATATATATATATATGTATTTCTTGCAGTATGGACAGCCAAACATTGAAGCTGGTTGCTCAGAGAGGCTGTGCTCTCTGTCCTGTGTCATTTTTAATGGGTAAACGCCTGAACAGCTGGCTTCTGACTTGATATCTGACTGTTTTAAGCAGGAGGTTGAACTACAGTGCTCCATCCAACCCTTCCAACCAGAATTAAACAAAATCTGTTTGCGTTTTTTTTTCTTCCAAATTTAGTACTTTACCCAAATTTAGAATTTTCACAGACTGTATGTGTTTTATACTTTTCTGTCTATAAAGCAAGCATCGAGCATAGTTTTTTGTCCAAGACCCATAAAACATAATCACCATAATGATGTGCATAACTTCAACATAGGTAGAGAAGCACAACTCATTAATTTCAACTAATATGGAAATGGTGACGTACTCTGAAAGAACGTGGGTTACTTCATCTGATTGATTTTGTTTTCTGCCATGACTTCCTGTAGACTGCCAAGCTAAGCATTGAAAGCTAAGTATGAATATTTTCTAGAAGATTTGAAGTTTGGGGCCTAGGACTGTGCTTAACAAATTAATTTGATGTACATAACACAACTGCCTATGCCAGTAAATTCAGAATTCAACACTGAGAGCAGTTTTTTAATGTCTTCACATTAATGAAGTTTTCTGAGAATGAAGTTTCTGCAGCTTCTGCGACTTTTGACAAAGTCTGTCCTCAATCGTTCCCCCTGCAATGGGATGTGACAGTAAATGATATTGTGTGCAAAATTTAAAAACAACAACAAATCTTCTTTTGCATCCAAAGCGTTATTATTTGACAGACACTTATCATGCTAAACATGAGTGAATGAGAGTGTATGAACTTTGGTAATTTCCTTATGCTGATAGAAAGCTATTCAAATAGTTAAGGAACTAGTGAAAGATAAGTACCCAGACACAATAAAGACACTGAACATATTGTAGTGCTTTAATTATGTTTACGTGTTGACTTGTAGCAATAGTATTTATTCAGCAAACATGGGGTCTGAAAAATATGTTAAACAGAGCCATGTCAACATATTAGGTGCAAAGGTGAAATCCACTGTGGAATCATGAGATAAAGTAGTGTAATTACTCTAGATTTTTATTTGAATCTTATTTCTGCTCTTCGTCACTCCATTTTATTGCCCATGTTATGTTCTAGGGCATATGTTAAGGCAGTACTTTCACTACTATTATTTATATCAGTGCTTATTTCTATACCAAGTATTGTACATACTTGTTTTCTATTACTGCAGTTTGTAAGAGTATGGAAATAAATACCCTCATGCTCTTTATTTTCTTTTGTTATGGTGTGGAGGTGTAAACCTGCAGTACACAGAATGATGGTGGAAAGTCTGCATTTCCTTTGCTTTTTAAGTAGTCACTAGTGAACACCTTAAGAAATTCAAGTGTGAAAGTCACGTTATTGCACAACCAGAGTTGGAGCACAGAGCCTAATTCTGTACTTAGGCCAAGGAAAATGGTGATTCATACCTATGCTTGGAACTGCCTAAAGCAGGAAAGAAAGAGTTATAAGTTACGCTTGTTTTGAGGGTAGGAGTGTTTGAGAACCAGTCAGGATAACATCAAGAGGAGGTCACTGAGATGACCAGAGGGCTGGAGCACCTCTCCTATGAGGAAAGGTTGAGGGAACTGGGCTTGTTTAGCTTGGAGAAGAGAAGGATCCGGGGGGACCTCATTGTGGCCTTCCAGTACTTAAAGGGAGCGTATAAACAGGAGGGGGAACGGCTGTTTGTGAGGGTGAATTGTGACAGGACAAGGGAGAATGGTCTTAAACTGAGACAGGGGAGGTTTAGCTTGGATATTAGGAGGAAGTTTTTCACCCAGAGGGTGGTGAAGCATTGGAACAGGTTGCCCAAGGAGGCTGTGGATGCCTCATCCCTGGAGGAATTCAAGGCCAGGCTGGATGTGGCTCTGGGCAGCCTGGTCTGCTGGTTGATGACCCTGCACATAGCAGGGGGTTGAAACTAGATGAGCTGTGTGGTCCTTTTCAACCCAGGCTGTTCTATGATTCTGTGATTACGTGACAATTAATTTTCCAAGCGGTGTTTTTAAGACAGCTTTGGAATTCTTAACGCAACTCTCTGAGGCTGTTACAGTAATGTTTACTTTATAAAATAAATGGGATTGCTTTTATAATTTTAAGGTATTACTGTCATTTTTTTGGATATAGCTATCCTTCATTTTATTCAGCTGTGCAAAACCAGTGTATGTTTACTAAGGACATATATAACAAGCTGAAGTGTCATGACTGTACTCCTCTAATATTCATATTTGATGGATTTAGTTGTTTTAGACAAAAATCAATGAAGCAGCCCAATTAAGACCGAATAACCAGCCAATTAACGAAAGAGGAAACTCCACAAAACCTGAAAGGGAGCCAGTTTTGGAAGGAATAGATTTAATATACGGTTGGAATTACCTCCATGGCTGCCCCTTTTTTATTGACCACAGATATGTATGAAGGATTGGATGATATTCCATGCTAACGTTGGCCTCCTCAAAGAACAAATACAACATAAATGTTACATCAGATTATTTTTTTTTTTAAAGGAGGAGGAGGTGGAGGTGAACTTCTACTCAGCACAGTTCTATTTGACAGAATGCAGAATTACAGAGCAGAGATAAGAAATCAAGTTATTATTAAGGAATATAATGTTGGCTTGTAACAGTTAAAATTTTTTGAGGTGAAAGAGAATCACAGTTGTAGGTTGTTAAATCTCAAATTGTCTTAGATTTCTGCAAAATTTGCTCTGTTCTCCCTTTCTACGGTTTTGCTGGCTTAATCAGCAGATGTCTTTTCTAATGAAAAAGCAATCAGACATCTCTGATAAATGTTGACACTGTGAATGCTGAAAAGGTGTAATTTGTGAAAGTGCAGCAGAAGAGTAATGAAACACAAGAGCACTTGCAAAGCATATTTTTCTTTTTTTTTTTGAGGGGAAAGGGGGATGGGGGGAAATATGATTTTCTGGGACTAACATCCTAAAAGTTTGTATTACAAGAAAACAGGAGTGGTAGAAGAAGTCATTCACTCGTATTAGGAGCATTCAACCTCCTCATACAGAGTTGTTGCAAATGACAGTATACATCATCCACAGACAGATAAACAGAAAATATAGAAAATATGGAGAGATTGTTAAGAGGCACCACAGGGTGTTACATCTCCAGCAGGATATCTTCTGCTGCTTTTTCAACTGTGCACTAACAGATACAAAATGACTCTTTTAATGGGCTACCATTTCATTTGCATCATTTTATAAATAGAATTAGTAAGGATGGGTGAATTTTCAGGTCAAAATATAGGAAACTTATCAGAACTGAGTGAGCATTCCTATGGTGAGTGCTTTCAAGACGTACAGCAGAAGTATAGCATGGAGGGAAGTGTGTGCATACTTTTTCCTGTTCCTTCTGCATGTCTTTTTTGATGATGTGTGGGCAAGAAAGCAGTGATGTACATGAATGAGATGGTACTTCACTAAAGTGGACTTTATTAATTCTTTGAGTGCAAATGCATTACTGTGTCATATGGAAGTACAAGACCACAAGGGACAGTTGTGTTAAACACGACTAACATCTTGTGGAAGACCTTGGAAAAAAAAATAAAATAATGCATAAGTTCATTATAAGGTATTTTGAATAATAAGTAAGTTGTCATTCCAGCACCAGCTCTAGAGTTTGAGAGACTTCAGAAACTTCACAGTGTGTAGTTCTGCTGTTTTTTTTTTTTTTAAAGGCATTTTCTCAGATTTTAACTGAATTTCCTAAATAAGAACATGAGAACATTCATCTGTATTTGTGTTTTAATTGCAGGTGCTGTTCTTATGTGGGTCGAAGGGGAAATGGTCCTCAAGCTATATCTATTGGCAAGAACTGTGATAAATTTGGCATAGTTGTCCATGAACTGGGTCATGTGATAGGTTTTTGGCATGAACATACACGACCAGACCGAGATGACCACGTCACCATCATTAGAGAAAACATCCAACCAGGTGAGATGTTCTAATAAATGTTTTTGGGGGATAAAAGAACTGTTCATTTTTTGCTGTTTCCTTCATTTGCTTGAGTTTTTTAGAACTGAATGCTCAGCCACAATAAGCATTTGTTTTTCCTCTTAGCTTGACCAATCTCAAGAGGATTCACAAATAAAGTACTGCAACTAAAATATAATCTTTTCTAAAGATCTGGCCAAATAGCAAGCCATGAAGTACCATTGGCTAGAAGGAGAGAAATAGCAATCATACTCAGAAGGTTTGAAGGAAACTATTACAATTAAAGCCCTTTAAAGTCCTATTTTTCTGTGGTTGAGAAAGGCTTTTTACAGTCATACTGAATGATTATTAGAGACATGCTGATACCTGTTTAGCTGCCTAGCAGGTTGAGATTTGGAAGGGAAGCTGAACGCTTTGAATCTGTGACCATGTTCCCATGATATTCAAATCTGAAACTCTGTTATCTGTGTTGGAAGAAAACTAGGCATGCTCCATTTGCTTTGTTCATACGTACAGCTGGTCTTTGTGAAATGCTGATTTTGAGCTTTTTGACCATTATCTGCAGGGTTTGAGAAGGGATGGAATTAGAAAGTGTCCAATGGGTAGCTTAGATTGTCTATCCCTAAAGAAAATGTTTTAAAACAAAATAGTTTTGGGGTGCAGTAAATCTTGTGAGAATCCCACCCACAACAGTGAGAGTGGAAGGGATTAGATCTTCGAAGGTGTCTTCAAACCTAAGCCATTCTATGATTTTCCACCTCAAAAACAGCTGGAGGAAGTCTGGCAGCTAATTCGCACTTCCAAGAGTCTCTGAAGTCCTAAAGTCCAGTTCCCACATCCAAGTTTTCCATCTACCCTCTTACCCATCAACTTGCATAGATGCTGTTCGAGTGCTCATCTGTTCGGTTTTTTCTCTGATGGGGAAAGTAGATCATAGTACCATCGTCTGCCTCCTGCTTTCCCCTTTCAGTTGTCCCTCTAGCTTCTGACTGAAAACACTTCTTGTGCTGTCATTTGAGGCTCACTTGTTGAGCTTGAGTTTCACTAAATCAGATCATGACCACCAAAGTATTTGTTTTCTGTTATACTACACAAATGAAGTTGGTTAATAACATTAATCCTACTGCAGTTGTTTTTTCATTTGTTAGTTTTGCAAGACTCCAATATGAATATGAATTGGAGTAAGGAGTGCTTTGTGTCCCTGTACGAATGATTAAGTCAAAGAATTCTGGATCTGGAATTATGAGTGAAATATTATTATTTTGTTCTACTTGCAATTTAAATTGCAAAAGCTGAACTCCTGAAAAAGTGACTTGTTTGTATTTGCAGTACACAGGTGCTCAGCCTGCACTGGAGTAAAGTCACTTTAGTATCAGTCCAGAGAATCTAAAATAAAGAGGATTCTTCAAAAGTTCTTGCTGTTAAAGCAGCAATTATTATTATAATAATATTTCATCAGCTGAAATTAAGAAACAGTCCAGCAAATTTTCCAGATTCTACGTGAATTATAGCATAATGTTTGGAGACTTCATGGTTTATGTGAATGAGAACAGTCTTTCTAAATATCAGAGATTTCAGAGATGTCTGCTGTCTTGGTTAATAAAAGCACAGTTACTTCCAAACAATGACTGAGATTTATGAATGTCAGCTAGTGATCAAGTTGGGATCCTTGATGTTTTTATTTTTCCTTCTCAAAAAGAGATATTAAAGAGAATAATTATCAATCATCCTTAGGTCAGGAATACAACTTCTTGAAGATGGAGCCTGGAGAGGTGAATTCCCTTGGGGAGCCATATGACTTTGACAGCATCATGCACTATGCCAGGAACACCTTCTCAAGGTTGGAGTCTCAGGTTATACCTTTTGACTTTTAATTCTATTCCTCTCTGTGAATGCTAAAAAATGTAAATTTATTTGTTTATTTAAAATTATTTCATAATCATTTAAAATATTCTTTGTAGCGCAGTATACTTACAGCAGTAAAAACACAGCTTGTTTAAGTCAGAATAATTAAATGATATTTTTGAACACATTTCTGCTCAGTTCCAAAGCAACCTACTAGTCTTGTTTCGGTTCTTTAGATTTTAAGACAAGATAATCTAGAAACATCATTTCATAGTGCTCGTCTTCTTTTGGTAAAACTTCATATTCCATGCATGTTTGTATTTAGAATAACCAAATGATTGAAATGGTTAAGTGTTTTAAGTATAACATGATCTGCTCTCTTGGAGAGAAATGTCCTCTGATGCATGACTTCTGAATAACTGTGGGTTATGCAACTAGAACATGTTATGGTAGTAGGAAATCTACCATGCAAACCACAACCTTTGCGAAGGGCTGTAGCCAACCATTTACAGCACAGGCTGCAGTCCCTCCTGTATTGTTTGTACAGATCGGTACTGTCATCAAAACTTTATAGAAAGATGTTCTGCTTTTTTCCTCCTCTTGCTGACAAGCGCACTCCAAACTTCATGGGCTTGCTCTGAAACACTGAATGGATTTGAGAAGCTGTACAGCAAGCTGTTCTCCTAGGCTAGAAAAAAGTAGAGCAGGAGTCTCACCTGATTTCCTGTCATATTTCATATCAAGTTGCAGTCCAACTTTCTACTTCTCTGAAATTAACTAGAGTAATGTAGATTTAAGAAAAACTCTGAAAGAAAACCTATGCAAGGACCTGATGGCATGTCACATAAAGCAAATACAGTTTTGTTTGGTATTAAATAAATGATCCCTAGACAAACTGAGATTCAGAAATAAACTGAAGACCACCAAAAACCTCACCAAAATGTGTTCAGCATATACATTCTTCAGCCAGGAAGAGCAAGGAAATTGAGTCACATGAGGTAGATGTTAGTCATATTGCTTAATCCAGTTACAGATGAATTACCTTAAGCTGTAAAAAGCCATATAAAATAGAGAAATTTAACAAGTTGGAACCCTCCAGAGTCTTAGGGCAATGACAACGTAAGATAATTTGAATTCTGGGCTCTGATCTCACCACTTTCCAAGCTGGCAAAAACTGATAGTACCATGAGTAGGCATGCCCTGCCCCAAGGTGCAATAGGTTGTTAAGTCATGCTGTTTAAAAATAACCTTCCAAACCCTGAGGTCATGTATCGATTTGCAGTAATTTATCTTGAAAGCATGAGTCATGCCCAGTGTGAAATATTGCCAACTCTACTCTGGATAAGTAGGAGAAATTGCAAAACTTCGTGAAGTTCTGGTTGCACACGATAATACTGTTAATGCTTTATTAAAACTGTTACCAGTTGTTCTTTTTATAAAGTACATATCAGAATAGTGCTGAGACATCTGAGAGGATCGTTTTCACATTTTCCAAAATAGTAATGGCATCTGTTTCAGATTGTACCAAAAATCAGTGAAAGATACAATTATGATTCAAAGATAACATTTTTTTAAATTAGTAACGTCCCTTATTACTAGAAACTGAATAATACCATAAATACTTTATTTTAGAGTTCAGCATAATTTAATGTCCTAAGCTGATTTTTTTTTTTTTTTTTTCTTTTTCCAAAATCTTTAGTGATGCCACAAGAAATCTGACTGGGTTAAGAGAGCACTATGTACCCCGATACTCAAAGTTGTTCATTTATTATCATTTAAAAAGTGATCTATTTTAATAAAAAGCATTCATAACTACAAAGATCCTTGCTATGGATTCGTTTTTTGGACCTACTTAATCCACATGTAAAAACAACAATTTTACTTTTCTGTACAAGCCCTGCAAGGACAAAAGATAGTATCCAAAAATTAAAGAACAAGAGAATACAAGAACATATTCATCTATTAAATTCCATTTTATTGGATTTTATGGATTTTCAAATCCTATAACATGATAACAGAACATCCTTGTATTTTCTTCTCTAAAATTGACTTTAGACTACCAGAATATTTTGATTCATATTTAAAATTGGGGATATTTTGAGTAAAAGTACACATTTGGAACAAATGTGCTTCTCTATTACTCCTAGTCATTTAAGGTAAATGTTATGGAAATCACTTATGGTAGGGAGACATGTATTGTTGTAGAGCAAGCGAAATGTGGCAAGCAAGCACTTATATTTAATAGCATCACTTATATTTTAATGGAGCAGAGTGAGATCTGTTATAACACCTGACAGAAAAATGGTTAATTTAAAAAAAAGAATCCAATAAAACCAGGAATAGCTTCAGATTACTGGCTGACTTCTTATTGCATTGGCAGACAGGACTGACTTTGCTTGCTCTTACACATGCAAGTCCAACATTAAGGCTTTAAAAACTTCATTAGGAATAGGAACTTTGTGATTAAGAATTTTCTGACAGGGACCAACTTACGTATTTTTATTTAATTTTACCATTATTTTTTTCAATATAATGAGCTGAGCTGTAGTGCGTTTTTCCCTGTGTAATCAAAATAATAGAAAGAGTTTTCCATTCTGTTGTCTAGCAGAAAAACTAACGCTTTCACTGAAGAAAGATTCTTTTTTGATAACTTTGCTCAAGGTTTGTCAGCCCAATGAATTTTTCTGACTTGTTTTCTCTATTTAAAGTTCTGCATTTTACCCTCTTACTTACGTCGAATGTAAATTTTAGGTTTACATAATAGCATAATTCATGCATCAAACTCTGCAAGTTTTATGACAGAAACCTGATAGGGTTTTTGGGGTCTATTTTTTATTTTTATTTTTTTTAGGGGCATGTTTCTGGATACCATTCTCCCTTCCCGTGATGATAATGGTATACGACCTGCCATTGGCCAGCGTACCCGTCTAAGTAAAGGAGATATTGCACAGGCAAGAAAGCTGTATAGATGTCCAGGTATTGCACCACAAACAAACAAAAAACACGTACTAGCAATTGTTTGACTTCATTTTTTTTTTTTTTTTTCAAGAGGAATGATAATATCTTTGAGTCAGTTGCTTTATTAGTCTGTTTCCACGTTGGCAACTGACGTAGGCAGTAGAAGAGCTGAATCATGAAAAATCTTTTAGGTAATGTCTCTCAAATGCAAAGCACTTATGGACAGATTAAACTACGTGAAACAACATTTAGTTTCGTTCCATTTCAGTATGTTTTCCATGATTGGAAAAGAAACAATGCTTCATGGTACTTCTGGTTATGTATTTGCAGTGTAAAGCTTCAACTGTACAATTAGGTAGAAGAGTTGCTATTAGTATATGTCAGGTCTGGGGTCGTGTTTGTTTTGAATTTGAGTGGAAGGCAGAATGAGCACATTTAAATGGTTGCAGTCAACTCTGAACTCAGTATAGTTTTCTCAAAATTTCAGAAGTTACTACAAGCCAGGATATCTAAGTTGTAAACAATCTTGAAACAGGTTTTCCAACTTTCCTTTTCCTCATGGGGGTTAATGAAGTCTCAGTAACTTGTTTAAGTCAGATACATGGCTACTTTTTAGCACCTGATCAATGCAGAAGGACTATAAGGAGGGATCAAGACTGAAGTGAGGGAGCTGCTTTAGATTTATATCAGCATCAGCACGATCTACTGAAGATCTGGGGCTTCTGATACACATTGTATTGCTGAAAGATGCTTTTAGTTTGTGCTACAAGTACATCAAATTATAACTGTCTATATGCAGAGAATGCACAGTGTTTCTGACTCTACCAGAGGATAAACTAACACATTTTCTTCAGCAGTTATCCCTTTTGAATTAAGTTTTGTTTTGTTCTTTTGATACAGACTGTACTTGAATAAAAGTATTCTCACAGGTAGCATTATTTCTAATAAGAGTACATGGAGAGCAGTTATTTTGTAAACACAGAGAATAAGGTATATTTGATAAAAGATAAGTTCTGAAGGCAAAAATAGCACATGGAATCTAGATCTCTGTGAATATAGCTAGTGTCTTATATCCCTCTGATTAAAAGTTAGAAAGATAGAAAAAGAAAACCCTCAAAAATCACCTTGACAGTTGAGTGCATAGATGATACTCTAATAACTTGAACGTGCAAAGATAGAATGTGCTTTTTGAGCTGAAGTTGTAACAGTTACTCAGAAAAAAAAAAAGTGCTTTTCATATTATTCACAAACACGTATGATAATGAACTGTCATTTCTTTTGAAGTTTGCACAGTCTTGTTGAAAGTCAGTTTCGTGTTGTTGTAAAAACATTGCTGCTCAGCAGTAGTGCACACTGTAAAATTTGCAGTACTGGTGAATGCGTTTCAGAGGGATAACAAAAATGATGAGTGGTTGTGGGATCAGGCTCCTTTTCTGTGCTACACTTTGGCAAACTTTGGGATAAAACACATTAGTTTTCTAGCCTTACTTTGCTGAGCCAGCTTGTAAAAGAGAATTTTAAGAGAGGGAGGGAGAAAAAGGCTGAAGGTTTTGATACAGATTTTTCACGGTATACTCTCTAAGATCACATTTTTTCAATTTATTTTTTTTAGTTACTGAATAACACATGACACAAAGTTAAAAACCACCACCAAGAAGACAGTAAGGAAAGCAACTCTGCAGGTTCAGTGGTATTTGTAATCTAATAAATGTTTCAGCAGATAGCAAGGCTGATAGTTCAGACACTATGCTTTTGATTTTGTGAAACATACATGATTTACAATTTATAGCAGTAACATCCATGACATTGTTTTTGGAGATGTGCTGTATCTCCTGTTTCAGACAAAATATGTTAATCATTGTGTCTGCCTATGATACCACAGCAGTGAATATTTCAGACATAAATAATAACTGCATTTTTTTTTCATGCGTTCAGTTTTTTTTACTTTAAATGTAATACCGTGAAAACACAGAAAATAGTGAGTCAAATCAGGGTTTTCCAGAGATACAGGCTTCTTTGATGAAAAATGTTGCAGTGTTGTGCATGTTTCATTTGGAGATCCACGTGCTCCTACAAGTAGCTTTTGGCTGGGGAAGCATGCTGCATTTTCTGGAGCCCATGAACATAAAGCTGAGCTTGGGGATGCTGGAGAAAAAAGCTGATCAGCTCAGTAGTGAGGCAGCTGAGCCTCTTCAATAGCTTTAACTAGGCAGGATAGTCAGGGTCATTTGTCAGAAAAGGACTTAGTGACTGAGAAATGGATTTGAGGTCAGTGAAGCTGTCTTTCATGAGCTGAGCAAGTGCCAAGACTCAGTGGTCTATGAACAGCAGGTTTGATTTGTTTTTACGTTCTTCTTACGATGCTACATGTATTGGCCAGATGAGAGTGGTGGTGTACTGGCTGCATAGTTAAACACTGGCAGGCTTCAGTAGTGGAAATCACATTCTGTAATATAATCCTGGTGTCTGCATCTACTCCTAGTCTTTACAGAGAGGAGAAAAATATTTTCCCTTCCATTACCACAGGAAGACCCATCAAAAGACGAGGCTTCTCAAGCTGTAGATTGGCTTTTGGTTGGAGTGTGTATGGGGGGGATAGTCAAAGTGCCATTTCTCTAAGTGATCTGAACTAGCAAAAGTTGAAAATGCAATCAGTTTCTTTTACATGAAACATGCTAAAACTAGATCTGAGGAAGATTAAACAAATGGCCATTACTCTCTTACTACCGCTGCCTTCCTTTCTTAATGAGGAACTACAAAATCACAGAATCATTAAGGTTGGAAAAGACCACTAAGATCATCCAGTCCAACCCCAGCCCACCCCCACCATGTCCTCCAACCATGTCACTCAGTGCCACATCTACCCATTTCTTGAACACTTCCAGGAACACTGACCCCACCACCTTCCTGGGCAGCCTGTGCCACTGCACCACCACTCTTGGTGTAAAGAAATTTTACCTAACCTTAACCTGAGTCCATTGCTAATGGACTGTAGCTCACTAAAATACCTAGGATATACTATTTAATAAACTTAATCACAAATAATGTAGTTGTACAGCCCAGTTGCAGAGATAAACCTTACATTATTTAACGATGAGATTTTAACTGTTTTAATAATCATGAACCCATTGCAGAGAAATGTGCTTTTAAGCAAGAAGCACCCAAATATCAACTTATCAACAACAGCTCTGGAAGCCAGCCTGGTACTCTGATCCCACAGATAATTAATTCAGCTATTGATTAGTATGAGCTGTTCTTATCACATATCCCTTGAGTAACCAGGAGTTAATTAAATGGTAAATACTGTGAAATACATAAAGTCCAACCTTATTTTATAAATTCTGCTTGTGTTGATTCTTAGTAGAAGGTATCATATCAATTTTTTTGTTACATTTGCCTTATGTTTAGAAATTTTCTGAAAATTTTGATTTAATAGAGAGCTCCCAGGCATTTAATATGGATATTAAATCACTGAGTGAGCTAGCTTGATGCTATATAGCTTTATTCTTCAGTTCTTACAAAAGGAAAGCCTTCAATGGCAGCTAAAGTTTTGTGTCTGTATACAAGTTCTCTGTATGGAACACAGCAAAAATAATCCTATCTGTGCGAGTGAGAGGAATTCTGAACTGTTTTCAAAGGTATTTTTCTCTTTATAAAATGAGTAATTTAAGGACTGTAAGATAAGGGCTAGTTATGCCAGGATCTTCAGATATGATCTGATTTTTAAGTGGTCTTGTGTAGAGCCAGGAGTTGGACTCGATGATCCCTATGGGTCCCTTCCAACTCAGGGAATCCTATGATTCTTCCTTCTGTCTTTTAACTAACTGCAGGGCTGCATTTAATCTGACTGCCTTCCTTCTGAGAGTACCTTGATGCAGCATAGCCTCCCTGGAGCCATGCATGGAGTGGGGAAAGAATGAGAGAAGGTTCTTTGTGCAGTGAGCAGAGCATTTGGACTCACTTTGTCTCTTTGGGTTCTGCTTTCCTCTGCTCAGTTATAGCTGTTTTACTCTTGGCCTTCTCTTAGGTGCTTTACATATTCATTGTAAGCTATGATACAGCTCAGTAGGTCTCAGGGAACCCAGTACAGCACTCTGTAATTTATTCAAGTTTTCATTAATTGCCATGTGAAAAATAAATTGCGGTTAATTATGGGTATAGCATTTTCACTGGGAAGATTCTATATAGAAATAATTATTTAGCACTGAATACCTTTTGTATATATGTCATTTCCTTTGGATGCCTGCAATTTTGAAGAGAAAAAAAGAGAAAAAAACTTTTTTTTTTTTTTTTTTTTTTTAATGAGAGGAAGAAACTTTTTTTTTGTCCGTTTCATTTCTGAAGGACATGGTGACAGTAACTTCGGCTATTAAATTTTTGGGAGGCTGTGCCAATCTTTTTCTTTCCTCACAATAACCATTTCAGTGTCAGAGAGCATATTTAATGCCTTGAATGTAGCTTATGCCTGATATTACGGCGTCGTTGTCAGATTACATCTTAGAAGCATTTTAACACGACAGCCCTTACAGCTGCATTGTCTCTTTGTCATAAACAATCTTTTGTCCCCTTTTATTTAAAGATTTTCCAGATCATTTATAATTCATTGAGATTTTGATGACACATTGGTTCACCTGCTGGCAGTGGTAGTGCTGTCATTTGAAAGCACTGAAGATCTGATTACGCTGTCAGTCATGGGATAATACTCTCCAGTTCACATGCCTTATATCACACCTGCAGATCAGCAGGTGAAACAACTTGATTGATGGTCAAAAAGATGACTGACTGAGGTGTGACATCCCACCAGAATCAGTTTTAATGGGAGAGAAGAGCAGGAGCTTCTAATGATGTGTTTTAGAGTGAAGGGGAATTACTGATCAGTCAGCCAGCAGATTGTAGCATGATTGACAGGTGAGATATGAGTGCTAAAAGCTTCAAAAAGAAGGAATACAAAATCTTTTGGTCTTTACATTTGCTTTGCTTTACTACCCTCACCTCTGCAAATCATTGTTGCAAGAGATTCTGTTGAATGTAAGATTTAAGTTTTCTATGCCAATGTAATTGTGCGATTTTAGGTAAGAGCAGTCTCTCATGTGGGCGAAGTACTGAAATAAATGAAGCCACTGATGAAATTGCAATGTGGTGCCAATCATGCTGTGCCAGTTTTTGTTGTGGTTTTGTTTTAGCTCATAAAGGATGTGCCTGAGGGTGGGGCTAACTTTTTTTTCCTGCAAAATAAAGTTACACGTATAATTTTGCAGTTGACTGGCAGCAGTGACATTTTTAAGACTGCTCTAATTTTGGCTAAGTCAGCAGACAGTACACAAGTGAAGCAGTTCATGGAATAAAAACATCCTGTGTAAGATGGAATGAACGTCAGATTGACTTAAAATCTCTGTTTTGAATAAATCATAAAATAACTAGTCTGTTTTCCATTCTGCATCTGCAGTGAGTTAAATGGGTTCTAAATAGATACTGGAAGGACACATTTTTCTCTCTTAGGCACATTCAATTTCATATTTTTACTGTATTTTGATTCTTTCAGCCTGTGGAGAAACACTGCAGGAATCTACAGGCAACTTTTCTTCTCCAGGATTTCCAAACGGTTATCCTTCCTACACGCACTGCATATGGCGAATCTCTGTGACCCCAGGGGAAAAGGTATTTTTACATTCTCTCAGCTAAAGGTAGATATTATTTTTAGAACAACATTTTGTCTTTGTCCAGTTTTTCACTTACGTTTAAAGCTTGCGTGATAGCTGAAAATGATGGTAAGCTGTAGAGCAGTGTTTTGAATGGGATTGTAAAAGGTCCGCCATTGACTTGGCTGTGGTCTATGGGTTTACTTCATCCATTTGGTGGCTTTCCGTGTGAAATGAAATTCTGATTTCAATCTGCTATGTGTTTGCATCATGAAACCCCTTCAAAACTGGTTTCTAGTGCATCTGGTCCTTCAGTGTAGAGAAGGAAGAAGTAGTTCAGGCTCCTGGATGGAAGCACTACGGGCCGGGGCAAGTTTTGCTGCCTGGGGCTGGGAACTCCTTTCTGTACTGAAAGCAATCTTTTGAAACCTAAATAAAGGAAACAGATTTTCATGTTAGATATTCTCCTATGTCGTTCTGGTGCATGTTCTTTTAATTTCCAGGTGTCAGTGTCAGGAAAATGCAGTCCTCCCCCCCCAAAAAATGTATATACATATAAAGAGATTGGCCTGGGAAGAGCAGTAATCTGAGGAAAGAAGTGTGCTATGCTGCTGAAAGCAAAACCTGTTCTTCTTGTGTATGCTTTCAAAACTTACTAGCTGAATCTTGTTCTAAATTATTGGCTCAAATATTAGCCTGCTTCAGAATAAGTAAGGATAAAGAGAGGAACGGCATGTTTCACCCGAGATAAACTATGCAGGAATAAATACATTTCTTTACTAGAAGCAGTAGCCAATATTAAGCAAACACAACTTAAAGCCTGAAATACAGGACTCTGCATCACTGGAGACTCTAAAGAGGAAAACAGAGCATTTGCCCCAAGATATTCAGTTCCCCAATCAGCACTGAACATAGTTTTTCCCCAGCTGGATTACTTTATTTCTTTCAGGTTAGGGTCCTGGAAGACACCAAGAATATGTGTCCCTGATCTGCTAATATATCCTGAGGAGCTGTAAGAGTATTTGCCAGTATGAAGGATGAGAGCAAAGTCATTTGGAATGCATTCACCCTCCTGTGGGCAGGATCCAGAGACAGGAGGAAAAATAAACATGCTCAGAGGGCGTGGGTGGCTCTGCAGGTTAGCAGGGAAAAACAAATGAAAAGATGAATAAGGAAAGGGTTGCACAAAAGATGCAAATTAATCTGGATAGGTAATTTTATATCCCCATTATTTGTGTTGCTTCTTAGACACTGCATCTTAACAACCGAAGTGGTTTAGGTTACTTTCCTTCTTCTCGGTTAAAAAAAAACTGAAGTGTTCATCTACAGTTATTGTTGGCTTCTGGAAATAATTCTTATGTATGAGATGGAAAATATGTGTAAAATTTATAGCATACTCAGAACGTTGTGCAACCGTAGTTGTGGACATCAGTGCAACTGTAATACTTGTAATACTACTATCATGTCTTCAGATTGGAACCACTACTGGAGCTGTACAAGCTTAAGCCTCTCTCTCAAAATCAACAGTGTAAGGAGACCGGCTCCCTTCCCATTCTAGCCTCCCCTCCAATGGAGAAAACGATTAAACCTTGTTTTCTAGTTGCTGTCTGACATGATGTGTCCTGTCCATAGGGCACTGTTCTGACCTCAAGCTCTCATAGTCTCCATAGAATTCAGCAAGAATGACGTAAATTCTATTTGTGCTAGTTCCAAAAAATCTGTTTTGTCAGTGCTGTTCCCACAGGAATAGCATCTTATTTGAAATAAAGGATACTATTTGCAGCAAGTACTTGATGTGAATATCAGATAGCAGAAAAGAGATATTAATGTTAATTAATGCATGTAGCACAATACCTTGGACACATGTATTGTGCTTGATCACAAGTTTTCTCAGCAAATGTTTGCTAACATATTAACGTTATGAAGGGAAATAAATGTGTATGTAAATTTATATCTCCTTTTGTTTGCTGTTTCGACCCTAACAGATCTCAGAAATATTGCATGGGGGTTAGAGTACGTACAAGTACATCACATCGTGTTCTGAAATGTCAGTGAGCACTTCAGTCACCTAAAAATAAACTGAAAAAGCATCAGTCCAGATTGTCTAGCTCTTGTCTCTTATTTACTGAGATTCAACATTGTACTGTTTGAGCATAGTTTAAAGGACTCTATTCTATCTACTCTGTGCTGCTTCCTACAAGTAGAGGCACCTCTGATCTTTGGCAGGAAATTCAAAGGAGGATGGGATTGAGGTAGTGTACAGTGGCTGCAGTTGTTTTATTGATAGAGGTCATAAACTGCCAGCCCAATCTAAAATACTCACGTCCCTATGACTAAAACAAGGCAGTTCATTCACCCTGACTTTTTCCAAAGATTTAAGACTACAGAGTAAACAGCTGTATGTGCTGCCAGCTGTACACAGTATATCTATAGAAAGAAAAATCTCTCTGGAAGGATGGTGCTTTTAACACTGTTTCCCCTCAGCCAGAGCAAATATCTCCTTCTGGTGCGGAGAGATATTTCTGACATGAGGCATTTCAACTGTGCCAGTGCTTTTTTGTATCTGTCCCTTTGAATAAGCTACATTACCTTCTATTTTTCATTAACTTTTACAATTAATGATGAGAGAGGACAGATAAGTCTTTGGTTGAAATGGAAAAAATTCCACAGGAGAAAATTTACTTTGTTCTACTTAGTGTTTGCTATATATCCTAGGCAATAGGAGGTATGATATTCTCTTTGAAGCTGCAGTAGTACAATTAAATCAATTGTGTAATCAATAATTCTTTAATTGTGCTGACTAGCACTCTCTGATTGCTATTCATATGAAGACTTTCAGCTGCCTTGTTCCCTTGAGCAAACTCTACCTTGTCTTTAGCTCTTTTAAATACTTTCCAGAGCTGCAAAATAGAATTTTATATATTCTTGTTTGGTTGCTGACCAGAAATCATGCTGTGACATGCTGAGGGTTCTGCCTATGTACAGTTCATGAATTCTGGTTAATGTTAAGGAATTGCTGTATCATCAAATACTTTGGCATGTCAGAGTCAGAAAAAGCTACGAAGGTTATTTCATATGGTTTGGAAAGCAGACTGTTAAGGAGGCTTAACAAATTTTAATGGATTGTGTTCAGTAGCTCTTTGGGATAGTGACACTATCACACCTAACATCAACTCTTTCCCAGTTCTGTCCTGGTGCCTAAGTTTTGGAGGAAGGCAGATTTGCTAATAGAAAATGAAGAAAAATGATGCTTCATTTGTGACCTGAAAAATGGGAAATTTACAGTCAGACTGGTCGGAGACCTCCAGATTGTAAACATCTAAGGCACTGGAGGAGGAATAAGATGTGGCTTCCATGATCTGCTTCCAACAAAGCCAACTGGGTTAGCTTAAGCAGCCATGGGAGGCAGTCTGACCTTAACCTAGCTGTCTGTGTCTGAATAGAGAAAAATCCTCCCCCTTGTGAAAGCCTCTGCCTGCACTGCTGGGTTGAGTTTGGCATGAGTGGAAGAGGACAATAGACTGCTAAGGGCAGTAGAGTTTGCAGAATACATACCCACAGGATTACAAATACAAGTACAGAATTACCTACCCACGTTCAGAGAAACTCAGGAGAAAAAGAAGGTAATGGCTTAGAAGGAATCTGAACTGCAAATGGATGAGCCAAGAAGAAGAAACATTTTGTGAGGCTTTTATTTAAAAGATAGATTAAAGAAGAAACAGGGAATTGGCTGAAGGAGTTGCCAAGCTGCTCCCTGTGATATTTGAAAAGTCATGGCAATCAGGTGAAGTCTTAGGTGACTGGAAAAAAGGTAACATCATACCCATTTTGAAAAAGGGCAAAGAAGATGACCTTGGGACCTATCAGTCTCACCCCTGTGCCAGGGAAGATCATGGAACAGATTCTTCTGGAAGTGATGCTGATGCACTTGGAAGGCAGGGAGGCGATATGGGAGAACCAGAGCGGCCTGTCAGCATCCAAAGGGGAGCTACAGGAAAGAAGGGGACAGATTCTCTAGCAGGGTCTGTGATGACAGAACAAGGGGAAATGGCTTCGACCTCAAAGAAGGTAGATTTAGGTTGGATATAAGAGAAAAATCTCTTACAGTGAGGGAGTAGAGGCACTGGAGCAGGTTACCTAGTGTTGTGGTTGATGCTCCATCTGGAGACTTTCAAGGCAGGGCTGGATAAAGCCCTGGGCAACCTGATGTAGCCTCTGTTCATTATAGGGGAGTTGGGCTACATGGCCTTCAGAGGTCCCTTCCTAGTAAATGCTAGCTGAGGGGTTCAGCTAATGCTTTGACACATGCTATTTTGGGGCCTACAAAAAAAGCAGAGTGATCTGGAAGCTGAATGTTTGTAGAGTGATTTCTGTCAAATATCTCAGTAACACTGGAATGAAAAAGACTTCCATTTTTCAGAATTTTTTTAAGTATCATTCTCCACCGAGGGCCTTATGAAAAACTGGTAAATGGAAAAAAAAAATAAATAAATAATGAAAACTATCCAAAGAAAGACATAGCTTAAGAGATGTACTTAAGATAGAGGCTATTAGAAACCCAGGGTACAGTACTTGATCTGCTGTGCACCCGGAGTGTGTTGTGCTTACCTGAATCATCTGAGTTAGCCCTCTGCCATTGAAATTGGTTCTGCTTAACCTGAATAGGTACATCTGAAAGGGAAAACAGGACTGAAGTCTAGTTCACAGAATTTGCAGAGACACAGGACGTATAGAGTCAAGTCTTGGATGTCTCAATGGTTCACGTTCTTAGGTGTTAAACAGTGACAATGAGGATGATTTACTTACTGGCTTTCATTGAAAAGATAAATAAACAAGCAAACAGCCCTCCTCTCCCCCACAAGGAACACTTTCTCCTTGTTCCCTCTGAATTTCTTATCTGCTCTAGCTTTTAATAGCTCTGATTTACTTGCCGTAGTTTCTGTAAGAAAACTCTAATTGTTATAATTCACCAAATGATGAAACACGTGAGCATTTCATTCTTAATCCCATGATTTTGAGCACATCTCCTATCTACATAGGACAAGATACTATTATTCAAAACTGTTTTGTTCTGTTTGTTTCTTTCTTTCTTTTTCATTAGGGTTTTATTAGCTCTGTTTTTCAAAGTTCAGGGAAGGGGAATCTATATCCAAAGCCAGGCAATATGAATACTGCTCAAAAAAGAAAAAATCTATTCCTGAAAACTTGCATATATAATTTTAAATATGTTCATTTCTATTGTAGTTACTATAGATACGGAGAGAAGAGGTTATACAGCAATTGTGTTTGATTTCAGATCAGTCCATTTTTGTCTTGGATCTCTGAATGAAGCCTACAATATCATGACTATTCATTGTTATGGGTCTTTATGATCCAGAGGGCCGATACCAGTTCTGGAGATAAGTTATTAAATATTATATATTATCTAAATGTTGTGGAGTTTCCAAAGCATCAAACTAACATCAAAGCATGCGTTCTGTGCGTAAAAATGTGAGACTAAGAGAGCAAACTTAATTTTTTACATCTGCTACTCTGAAAATGTTCCAAAGCAGCCTTCAGGATGTTCCCAAGAAGAACACAGTGCTAGAGGCAGACTGTGGTTTAAGCAACCCTCTTGGAGATTTTGTGGTTGTGGTAGCATATTGTGGGTATAAACATTTGGCCTTATTCAATCATCAGAACAGGTATCCATTTATTCAGTGCTATCTTGATGGTCCTTGGCATGCTTCATGGCTCATACCTTCATCCCACAAGGCTGCAGCTGCCAATGGTAACGAGCCTCACTGTATGGGAGCTCTGCCTATTGGGATTTATATGTAGCTTCACAGATGTTCTCTGTTACCTATTGCATCAACATAGTAAAGGTGAAAGCTGCACGTGGTCTTGATTTTCCACCCAAACAGAATGCAGGCAGCATTCTGTGATGGGGGAAGATGCAGTATGGCTTTTAAGATAGTCAGAACCTTCTTCCATTCTCTGTGGAAAGCAAAAGAGATTTTTGAGACTGTAACTGTATGAACGTATACTCTTTTGTTTGTTTATGAAAAGTAAGTTAAAGCAAACCCATAGTTCAATGCTAAGGCATGTAGGGTTTTGCTATGAAAGATTATATCTCCATTGAGGTTGTTTGGAGAGGAACTTCAACCTCAACGCTCCATTCTCTAACCTGCACAACCACACCACTGGACTTGATGTGAGCTTTAAATGAGCTTCCTCCAATAGCTGTTTTTCTTTTGAGAATTTAACAGCCTGAAAATTTTTTCCCTTTCTTGCCTTAATATTGTAACACGTCATTGTCTTTGGAGAGACGTATGGTGCCTTCAGAAAAGATGGAAGAAAAGCATCCAGTATGGCTATCTGGGCCCATTATTATGATGCTCTATTTCTCCTCCAAGGGATAAATTCCTATCCTGCCAGTTGACACACACAGCTGCTTCATAGGCTGCCATGGAGATATATTTTTGCTCTCTGAGGTATTTGCTGCTGTGCGGCAATTCCTAGTTGTTTTATAATAGCAGGTTTCAATTGTGAGCTCCCAGGATCAAACCTAAAAATAGAACCACTTAATGCTCATCAGTGAGTAAAGAAGATTTTTATAGTTAGTCTGAAATATTTATTAATGTATGCTGAGGAAATGTTCTGAAAGAAGATGCGTTCTTTTTCCAATATACTTAAATCCAATTAAAGGATATGAATTGGAAATGATTTCATAATACATAATATGAATGATTCTTAATCTTCATATTTTAACTTATCCTTGAAATTGTAGGGCATAAAGCTAACGTTGTCTCAGTCAGTTGGAGCCCAGCCTGTAGGTAGTGTGAACTTATGATCAGACTAAAACCTACTTCTTTGTTAAAAGTGTAACTTTATGGTGGTTTAAGATGAGTATTTTTAAACCAAAGTGAGATAATGTGATGGTCCACACTACTCCTGATATCATGTATTGAAAATATGCCCACTTTCAGATACGCTCAGTAAAATTTGAATTCCAATTTCAGATTTCCAGATAATGCAAAGATCTCTGTATTAAAAGCTGTATTGTAGTTTCACTACAAGTCTGAGTAAAATAGGAAATATGTACCATTTCTTTCTTTTTTTTTTTTTTTTTCGTGTAATGGTCCACCATTGTCAATATTATCTAAATGTTGTGGAGTTTCCAAAGTGTCAAACTAACATCAAAGCATACGTTCTGTGTGTAAAAATGTGAGACTAAGAGAGCAGACGTAATTTTTTGCATCTGCTACTCTGAAAGTAAACTTCTCTGCAGCAAAAAAAATTCTCTGAAAGTAAAAAATGTTAAAATTGTAGTTGAACGGAAACACAAATTAACCAACAAAACAAAACAAAAATTTATACCTGTCTCTGCAGCTTATAATCATAGAACGGAGTGGAAAAAGAAGTGGCAAGAGAATTATCAAATGACATGCTTAATATGATGTTTTGATCTCATTTTGCTATATGAGCATTCTCAAATCCCTATTTTTCAGTGAAAGCCTCCTTGTAAGCAGCTAAGTTCGTCTTGAACGTTCTCAACTGTGTGAAATTATAGAACATTTTTAATATTCCCATATAAACTTTTACTTACTTAGAAATAATTGAAATTAATTGTCTAAGCATTGAGGTCCTGCTAAGAATGACCACTGGCTTCAGACCTGCAGAATGCTGCTGGGATTGTTTTCCAATATGAACCATGGGTTATTTACTGACGTGTTCTCCTCTGATTTAGATTGTTCTAAACTTCACCACGATGGACCTGTACAAGAGCAGTCTCTGTTGGTACGACTATATTGAAGTAAGAGATGGCTACTGGAGAAAATCACCTCTGCTTGGTATGCAATTTGTGAATGCTGCACTGACTTACCATACTCATACAGTTCAGTGGACTTACTGCTTGCTATTGTAGCTGTAATACCCTTGTGACTTATTTTTAGCTTCCTAGAACGTATGTAAGGTGGGAAAGGAACAAACACTTAAATGGTCTCAAATACCTTCTTTACGTGACTTCAAATCTCAGGCGTTCCCTGCAATTAGTCAGTACACGTACCATGTTGCATGCTTCATGTGTGGAAAGAAGAAAACTACAAAACATGCAACTTCTTGTTTTGCTGATGGGTGTTTTCATAGATGTTTTACAGAAATGTGGAAATAGTATCGTGACAGAGCTGCAGAGCATTTGATGGGGAATCCATAGAGCATGTGATGAGCACATGCAAAGTGGGTGTGAACACCCACCACTGTCAAGTTGTACTTACCAGCTCTGTTCCTGTGCTTTTGAAATTATAAATAGGTTACTCTGACATATTCTTTGCTTCTTCAGTGCAAAAGCAGCGAAGAACATGCAAAACAATAATGACTTAAGTCTTGAGAGTTTAAGTAATGTGTGGGAAGCTGCAGGTATCTTTTTCTTAATTCAGATGGTTGGTGGGGAGATTACGTGCCCCATCATGCTGCCATTAGATCTAAGCCTACCGTGTCCAACATCTTCTTTGCTGGTTAACTCTTGAACAACAACAACAAAAAGGATAGCTATTGATTAATTTCAACTTCAGATAGCATGCAGTTTATACTGACGGAGCACCCAAATCTCAACTTCTACATATTGGGATTTAAAGTCTAGGTCAGAATTCTTCCAAAGGATAAAATACTGATTTTGAACTTCATTTCAGTGATTTTATTAATTTTTATTTTAAATGAATGTCAGTATATATGATTCTGTAAACTTACTTTCATGCTGCCCAAGTGATTTCTGTATATGTTACCATCTCACCTGTGGGTTGTGTACTAGCCCTTTTTTCTGGACAGTATGACTTAAAATAGCAAAGCCTTTATTTTTAAATTGTCAAAGAAGGATAAATTTTCCCCTGTCATAACTGGACCTTTCCTTGTTAGTTCCATAGACTTAGAATAAATAACACTAGTTGAATCCAGAGAACTACATTAGACATTCTGTGGACTTCAACAGTTGAATCTGGGGGTTTCAGACTGTAAGAAACGTGAGTCTCCAACTTCTTGAGTCAGGTTTGTTGTTGTTTTTAGAATTAAGACTAAAATATTGGTTTGCATCTTCACAACCTTCTTCACAATTTAAAAACAACTGTAGAAAGATAAAGTGGAAGTAGATACAGAGGAAAGAATTTTAATGGTAGTGCCTATTTTTTTTTCTATTTTTTATTTCATCTTTTAAGGAAAAGACGAAACAATTAATACCAAACAGTAATTACCCTTTCTCTATCACCTAGATAAATGGAGATTTCACCTACCTAGGCTGAAATAAGAGGATAACATAGTCCAGGGTCATTTGGATTTTAGTTTTTAAATCTCTTTGGCTCTTAGACGTGATGAGCAGTATTACCGTGACCTGGATGTTACACTCTTTCAGATTAGCACTTACTCTGCCCTTCCAAAATGCCCGGGTCTGTGTACATACACAATCTATAACAATCATTTTTCAACTTAATTCCCCCAAGTTTTGTTTTTTTTTACTTTGACTTGTTAGCCTGACAGCAATGAAACACTTCATAATAAAATCTTTGTGTATTTAGGTTCTAATGGGCAGAAACACGTGTGCTCGGCCATAAGCGTGTGAATAGTTCCACTGAGCTGGTTATGTTACTTGTGTTCTTTAATGTTAAACACATGTTTGCAGCGTTTGGGGCAGCAGAAAATGCAGTTACTGGTTGCATGTTTTTAGGCAGGTTTTGTGGTGACAAACTGCCAGAAGTCCTCGCGTCCTCTGACAGCAGGATGTGGATTGAGTTCCGTAGCAGCAGCAACTGGGTTGGAAAAGGCTTTGCAGCAGTTTATGAAGGTGGGTGTCTGACAGCACTAGAAAATGAGCTGCTTCTGGAGATAAAAAACTAACCAGATGCCTTTGGAAAAAAATAACTGTATGTATATTTACACATATACATACATATAGTCAGAAATAGTAATACGAAATTGGTGTTCTCTTACTGAAAGGGAGTAGAATACACCAAATTGGTAGATAAGACATTTTGAAACATCCTGGGATCAGATTTCAGATGACCTTTTTTTCCAGGGATATCACTGATAGTTTTTGTAATATTTTTTTGCCTGTTCTTTACTTAACTAAATATTCATGTTCTTGTGCTCGGTGTGTGGAAATAATTATTTGAGTACTTTCTGTTCATTCTTCAGAAAATCTGACTAAAGTTTTCCATATGCTCTGGGATAACTTAATAAAGAGGTACTCCCACACACTGAGTGCATTATGAAGTCTACATTCACCTGTTTAAAATACAGCCTGTTTTCTTAAATATTGAATCCATGGTAGTAAACCCTAGGATTAAATTGCTATTTACAGCTCTCCACGTGGCTATGGGTATGGATCCTGAGAAAGTGCATTTACTTTTCATGCAAATATTTGTTATTAATATGAAATATTTCTTCAAATTTAGTATAAACTTGTAGTGATAATCTGTAGGCCAAAATGTCTATTATAAAATATGAGGTTTCTTTTTTATTTTTCTCTTTCTAAAGGTTAGTAAATGCTAATGGAGAAGGTATATTAAATATATTTTGAACGTGAACAAAAAGTAAACATTATTTTGGCCATTTAATTATATTCTGTAAAACATATAGGTTCAGATAGATTACCAGTGATTTCAAAGTCTTCTTCAACGTTATAAACACATTTAGCACTACTAGAAATGGTGATCTACAGCATTCGCTCACTGAAATACGTATTGTAGACTAAATGTTAATAATTTGTCCTTGCAAGATTTATAAGTATTTTCTCGTCATTAGTTTTCAAAAGAAGAGGGATGTAAAAATGTCACTTTGGGTGTTGGGGATTGTAAATGTCATTGTTGACTTTGAATTTCATGCTTTTAACCAGCGATCTGTGGAGGTGAAATCCACAAAAACGAAGGCCAGATCCAGTCTCCCAATTACCCTGATGACTACAGACCGATGAAGGAATGCGTGTGGAAAATAACAGTGTCTGAAAACTACAATGTAGGATTAACCTTTCAAGCATTTGAGGTAAACTGATTTAACCTAACTCGGAAAACCATCTAGTGGATAAATGGCAGTGACGTTAAAGTGAAATCCTTTTAAACCTGTGAGGGAATTCATGAATTCTCTCTGATAAATAACATCCAGAATCCAATTCAGCTCTTCATGGACCTTCCTTTTTTTGCTGAAGTTTTCAAGAAGATTAAAGGTCTTTATATTATCTATGCTATTTGAGTTGGAACGTTTCGAGTGCTGGCAGTTGTTGCAGTTTAACAAATACGTAATTCAGTTCAGCAAGTCTGCTTTAATATCCCATTAAATAATAGGGATTTTGTATCTTTGCTGAATCTTATCTTTAAAAAAGAAATCTCGAAAGAAAACATTGCAGTGTTTGGCTTCTGTTAAAAAAAAAAAAAGCAAAATATTACATAAAAATATATAAGTCTCCTTAGGTTCAGTCTCTAAATGTATATTTAGAAGGGGAAGAAAACAAATCTGTGGTGAGTCATATCTGTGTGCCTTTATAATACATCTCTCCATGTAAACACTGCTAAACAGTGGTAAATAACAAGAAGAAAAATGATAAACAATATTCATGTTTCTTTTTTTTTTTTTTAATATATGTACATATACACTGTTTTGAAATTTGTAGGTAGATTTAGGAATATGATTGTGGTCTGGTCTAGTGCAGGTGAGCTCTTCCTCCCCAAAGATCCTTTCAAATGCTGTTCACAGAAGTTCTTCCTCGTGCTTGTATGGATATGGAGCCTTACTAATCTGACATTGTTGCTCAGTGTTTTTTATTGTAATCGCAAGAGAAGTGACACTGTGTAGGAGATTTCTGAAGCATGGCCTCCATGCAGATGCTTAGGGTTGATCTATGTGCATATTACATCATTGCTTGCACTGACTGTAGTTCAATTTCATCTATACAGGGAAAATGAGAGCACCGTTTTAGTAGTGGTTAAGGCTGCAGTAAGATCTGTTACACTGCCATTCTCCTGCAGGCTTTAGAATTATGGCACTCTAGAGGTGAGTCATGAGCTGACTCTACTCCTCCTAAGAAGAAAGAAATTGAAATAGTTGGGTGGTAGTCTCAGTCAAAAGGGTGTTAGCACCTCTGCTAGATGTGTTTTGAAGTGTGTCCCAAGTAAGGACTTGAAAGGCACACACTTTCCTGGTGTGTGAATCCAGGGCAGCAAGATGCCCTTGAGCACCAAACAAGGAGCTCGGGAAAGGCACAGGAGTTCTTTTACATATATCTATCTTTGCTGTGTTTCTTTCTGGCTGTTCCACAGGGCTGCCTGCAAAGAATTGGAGTTGTTTTGGAAAATGAAGTGCCCTGCTTAGACATTCATTGTCAGGGCTGATTTCCATTTCAGGTCCAAGCGCGGGAACGTAGGTGTTCTCTGTTTTGGTACTAAGTCCCTCTCTGGACTGAATCCTTGGTGAGCTGCCCAGTAAAACATAAAGTTGTTTGAAAATCGCAGTTCTTCGTGCCAGCTTAGATCAAAAAAAAAAAAAAAAAAAAAAAAAGGTAAATGTCAGGCCAAAGAGTTATTGCAGTGTGTTTGTGAGAAAATCACTTCTCTGTCCTTTGAAAGGTACACTTAAGTATGAGGAATTCTCATTATCCATATGTAATGCTAGAAAAAATAACTGTATAAATAACCTCCACTCCGAAATGAAAGCACTGGGGAAATTGAGAATTTCAAACTGCATCAGTGAGTCATCCTGTTTTGCCTGCTGTGGGCAATGCGTTTTCCACCAAGTGTGGGATTACCTCCTCTTTCTTGGCTGCCTGGGGGGGAGCTCCACTTTCCAGTACCTGTATGATACCAGAGATGTGAGGACTGGGAATTCCATTTTAATTTTTTTTTTTTTTTTTTTGCTCTTCATTGTTACAGCCTCTTCTATTATACTGTTGTGTGAAAACGAGTGGTCCTTGTGTTTATCTTTTTAAAGGACTTGTGTTGACAAACACCAACAATCTAAGACAATCCAGAAGGTTTGTAGGGCTGAGCCATATTAAACTTCTTTGTGTGAGTGGCCCTGTTAAAATCCATGCAGATAATGTTAATTTCAATCATTTTTATGGGAATAAAATGCATATAGTCTCCTGAAGGAGTTGAAAGTTCCACTAGACATACATCCCACCTTTTCTGACAGAAGTCCATTATCTGAGGAAGATATGTATACCTGAACTGGAGTTTGGCTGTATCAACAAAAAATTAATAATGAAAAAAAAACAATCTCACCTGAAATGTGATTGCTTTCAGATTTGCTCCTCAAATCTTTATCTTTTGATAAAATCTTTTTGTTATTGTGGGGGATTTTTTCTTCTTATTTTTCTTCTTTTTTTTTTTTTTTTTTCCCTCAAAGCTGGAATGATGTGAAAGAAATTTCTTTTCCTCGTGAGAATGAAAGTTGAAGTTACCTAGCTTTCCATTTAATCAGGAGATTTCTCATTGCTTTCTTGTGCTTATGGGCCTGACTTAGGAATTTTTCTGTCATTTTTTTTCAATGTAATTCACTAATGCCACTCAAATTCTGGGTTTCTTCCAAATCCTTCAGATCCAATGGTACCTTTCATTCTCTTAAAAGAACTGCATTTTTCTATTAAAACCTGTTTGTTTTTGCTTTTTTCTTTTGCTTTTTTCTCATCCACATGAAATTTTAAACTTGTGAAATTGTTATTGCTCCAGTAAATAAGTATTACCAGATCATTCCAATTACAGCTAAGCTTACTGGCTGTCCTGTCATTAACCTGGGAAGATTTCCTACCGTTGTAAAAGGAAAAATGAAAAACTTCTGGAAGTCTAATAGAACTTTATAAGGCAGTGTTCCCAATATTGCTGTGCAACAGTATTGTAAAACATGAGGTTTGCACAGGTAAAAGCTACCTTTACTTACCAGCCTTAAAACCACTGATCGCTTCTCAGAAACACTATTCTTACCTTTGAATTTATATATAGCTATTTAATCCCTGACTGTATGAATAATAATGGCATTGTTTGAAGCAGTAGTACTCTAAAAATAAATTATTGTGGTAGAATGGCCACCACTTTGAATCGTTTTATTAGAAATCAATAGCACTCTGTAAGTTGCTTGATTTTTGTAGTCTTTGAAAGCTTAGCAACTCGCTGTTATACAAAATGGATTTGTAGCGTTTTCCTTCTGCCAAAAATAGGGATTCTCAGGAAAAAAAAAAAAAAAAAAAAGCCCTAACATTTTACCTCAGTAGGAGTTTGGTACATGTAACTCAGAGCTACACTTGGCCTTTAAAAATAATAATTTCCATACTGCCCCATAGAACATGAGAAACGTGGAAAAAAAACAGATGTTAATTAAAAGTTTGAGTCGTGTCAAGTCCACAGACATGTGGGGGGAAAAATACACAATTCCTTCTTTGATTTTAATGGGCTTCGTGCCAGGTCACTTCTTTCTACATCGGAGTGCAGTATGGGTTGGTTTGTTGTTGGTTGTTTTTGTTGGTTTTTTTTTTTTTTTTTTTTGGAGATTATAAAGCAAGTTGGATATGATGTCATGCATTTATTCAGATGAATGAAAATTTGCAATCTGCATTACGGCGTCAAAGACTTAGCAGTGCTCAGGTAGACATATGTCTGACCACGTTAGTTGCAAACAGCTGCCACTGAAGTCAGTAAGAGGTAGTTCCACCCTAAATCACTGGGGCTTTTCTCATTTCTCTAATTCTGGCCCAAAGTAACTCCTGAGCAAATAACTGAAAAATTACAGCAATATGGTTTGTGCCAGAGAAATGAGTGGGAGAAAATTACTTGAAGAATTGGAAAGCTGGAAAGAGGACAGAGAAATTTTGTGTGTAAGAGCCATATTTTGATGGCATTGAAATGAAATAAAATCAAACAACCCCTCCTCCTAGACTTCCCTCTTACAGAAAGGAAGCAACATTCCTAATGTGCTAAATGAAAGCTCCTTAGTCTGTGGTGGTTACTGGGCTTAGAGGTAGTCATAATGCTCAGCCAGAGCAGAGTGGCACCAACGACTGGTACCGAATGTGCAGCTATTGTTTAAGTAAAGTATTAGATGTGGGTTTTTTCCGAGCTTGGTATGAATTGATTCTTGTTCCTTTTAACAGAGCTGAGATGTGTTGAATTGAATCTGAGGCTTCTGCAACCCCTTCTCCCTCCCTCCCTGACTGTTCTCTCTGTGCCCCAGACATATCCCACGATTCAGCCACTTGGTTGAACAATTGTTCCTGTAGAGGATTTAGTTTTGAGCACTTGGATTTAGGTAATGCTTTCATAGCCGAGGCGCTATATTAATTGAGTAACATGAAGTAAATGATTCAGATCAAGAGGATTTTCAATTCTGTTGGGAAATATTTCTATCGCAAAGACAGGCATAATTATTATTCAGGCTTCAGATAGAATCCCATTGTCTGCTTTTGCTTTCTGTGTTGCAAGAATTCCTCTGATTGACTCTGAAGATACTATTATGTAAAGACTTACCCAGGGGGAAATGCAGATATGGCCACTGGCATGGCAGTCTGTGCTTGGCTATCCTCTGGCAGGTTGTTTAAACAAGAAGTGCATTTTCAGTTGTTCTGCTTTCAGTACTTTGCTCTGACAGTATGAAAAAGATGAACTTCTTGACTCTGGAATTAAGACAGAGTCACCTGAAATCAGGAATCATGCAACAGAAACCAAATTCTTTGGCCGCAGAAAAATAACAATGATATTTTTTGTCATCAGTTCTTTTGACTGGTAAGTAGCTGATAATTTTAAAAGTGTGTTTGGGTCTAATTGTTCAAATGCTTCAAACTCTTCATTCACTGTGTTGTTTTTTTTCAACTGCCCCGCAACATCTGTGGGCATTGACAAATGCAACATTTTGCACTGTGTTTACAATAAGGAAAGAAAATAAAATATTGATCTCTATCCGCAGTCAGGCAGGTTGGCGATGTCTAAAAGTCTTTTCATATTAATAAAAACGAGCCTTGTAACATTTCAAAACCGACTGATATTTCTGACTCAGTTATTGAATCACTGATTTTGTATACTTGCATGTACATGAGAAAAGAAGAATTTACTCAAACTCAGAGCAACAGGAATTTGGCAGAACATTGGGAAGCTTAGAAATGGGCTTGTCTCTCCTAATTACTTTGTCCCGTTTAGATTGTTGTATCCTATGTAACAACCTCAAGTTTTTCTTCCTGTTAAAAAAAAAAAGAAAAAAAGAAAAAAAAAAAGTATTTTAAACAGCCTAGTGATTCTGCTTCCTTTTATCACCCTCCTAGTGTTTGAATCACAAAATATTTTATAAAATTTTCTATTCTATTATGTGACTGATATTTTATATTTATGGTCAAGTTGAAAAAAATCCCTAAAATCCCTTCAAAAATTTTTTTTTTTTTTTAATGCAGATTGAAAGACATGACAACTGTGCATATGACTACTTGGAAATTCGAGATGGAATGAATGAAAACAGTCCTTTGATCGGTCACTTCTGTGGCTACGACAAGCCAGAAGACATTAGATCTACCTCTAATACTCTGTGGATGAAGTTTGTTTCTGATGGAACGGTTAACAAAGCAGGATTTGCAGCTAACTTTTTTAAAGGTAAATGTTAAAGCTTATTTTCAGACCTGTGAACTTCTTATCGTTTGCCTGTCCAAAGAAGGGCAGCAAAGCTGGTGAAGTGTCTGGAGCAAAAGTCTTATGGGGAGCAGCTGAGGTAACTGGGATTGTTCTGTCTGGAGAAGAGGAGGCTCAAGGAAGATCTTATTGCTTTCTGTAAGGAGATTGTGGAGAGGTGGGGGTCAGCCTTTTCTCACAGATAACAGCGATGGGATGAGAGATAATGGCCTCAAGTTGCTCCAGGGGAGGATCAGATTGGATATTAGGAAAAATTTCTTCTTAGGAGAGCGGTGAGGCATTAGCACAGGCTGCACAAGGAGATGCTGGACTGTCTCTGAGTGTGTTGAAGAATCGTGGAGCTATGGCATTGAGGAACATGATGAGTAGAAATGGTGGGAATGGGTTGGAGTTGGACTGGATGATCAAAAAAAACCATCCAATTGGATGGTCTTTCCAATTGTAATGATTCTATGAGTCTGTGTTTTATCCTTGTACCAAAAAAAAAAAAAATTATAATGGGATTCAAAAAAATATTTTTGAACCTGTTTTTATCATATCATATCATAGGATGGCCTGGGATGAAAAGGACCGCAATGATCATCTGGTTTCAACCCCCCTGCTATGTACAGGGTCACCAACCACCAGACCAGGCTGCCCAGTTTTTGACTTAAAACAGTTCTGTAATATCTTTTTTTAACCTGGACATGCAATTTTTTACAAAAAAAAAATTGTAAAATATGTCCAAAGAATGAAGGGAATATATTCAGTCCAACTACCTGCTTTCTTCAGATTAATCAACTTTGATTTGGAAGCACCTTGAAACATATCCATTCTTGCAAAATACATTCCTTGGGCTAATAGTATTATCAAATATAAAATCAAATAATATAATAGAGATGACTGGGTCTTTTCTACTAAAATTGTTTTCTTTGAATCTACATGTTTCTTCTAGCTATTCTGCTGCATTAGGCTGCATTATCAGCTTATTATTGTCCATCAACAAGGTGAAAAAAAAGAACTGAGAAACCATGAAGTGACCAGTGGCCTCAGTGTCTGTCTCTAGTTAGTTTGTGGAGTTCCTGCTCCGTTCTACCTAAGGCACAGTGAAAGGCAACAGCAGCTACTGGGCCATGCTAGCCCCGAAAATACAAGTCATGTCACAAGGAAAGCCTTTTTGCCCCCTTGCAAAGCCACAAGCTGGGGATTTTCTTACTCTGTTGGTTTCCACTCTAGAGAATTAAAACTTTGAAGGCTAGAGACATAAGGGTGGGAACTCTGTTTTACTCTTCAGGAATTACTTGTCTCAAGATTGTAAGGAAATAATATTTCAACATCTGAGGAATATTTTTAAAATGAACCTCGTGGGTATACTTCACAGCTAGTACAGACAATACACTGTTCCCTTCCCTCCCCCACCTTGATGTATCTTGTTCACTTTAATATCAGTAGAATGAAAACCTGGGATTTGAGGATTCTGTTAATCTGTTTTTGAGTATGCGTTCAGTTTGTGCGTATGCACAAATTGATTCTGTGGGAGATGAAGTGCCCTTCAAGTGACCCTGCTCTGGATTTTCAGTCTTTCTTTCAATACTTTATACAACCTTCAGATTAATGCTGCCTAAATTATTGTGTGTTGCCAGCAAAGTGCTTATAAACTAGATCTGCAGCTGTCAGTAGATACTGTAAAAAAGCAAAGCAAAACAATTACACAAAAATACACATTTCTTTTCTCCATTACAGGCCTCCTTAGTGTTTGAAAGTGCTCTAGTCAGCATCCACGGTGTGTTTTGTAGCACACCCTATAATGGCATGTATTACAGCTTTCGGGGTTAATACTGATCTGTCACTTACAGCTGAGAAAGGTAATTATTTAACACATTTTTCATTCTTCCCTGTCTTGGCAGAGGAAGATGAATGTGCCAAACCTGACAATGGTGGCTGTGAGCAGCGCTGTGTTAACACTCTGGGCAGTTACCAGTGCGCCTGTGATCCTGGCTATGAACTCGGTCCTGACAAAAAGAGCTGTGAAGGTACAGTCTGTTGCTATGCTCTCAGGTATTGAAGCTCCAGGCTTTGGTCATTCGCCTTTCGGATGCTCTCTCCTAGCAATGTAAGGTCTGTGGAGCAAGCCTGGAAAACCAGGGCTGCCTCGAAAGCAGTGGTGCTGGGGCTATGTCCCTCCATAGAGGTCATCTTTCGTTGGATTGCTGTCACTAACTTCATGTTTCAGGTTTTCCTGGTAGTCGATTGGAAACATTGCAAATAACTTCATGCTTTTCCCAACTTCGCATTGTATTACTCATCCTCGTTAACTCAGTCTCCCATTGTGTGCAAAGAGAGGATTATCAGCAGAGCAATGTGCTGCTGTCAGGAACTTGAATGATCCCCCTGACAGGCTCTGGCTGCAGTAGATCCTTTATTCCAGTGCAAAACTCAGAGAAATCCTCACCACTGCCAGTCTGATCATGGAGTTTTCTGGCAGAGAAATCTTCCCTAATACTAGTCAGATTTTATTGCTGGTAAAAAAATTCTACATTTCAGAGATGAGTGAGGCTTGCTCAGGTAATCATTTGGCGAAATAAAAACCTGATAAATTGAAGTTTGTATAAACAGAAGATTGAACTGAGATAAGCTTTTGCTTCATATATGTTTTTCATATGAAAGGAAAGAAGCAAAAGCTGTCGATCATTACGTAGCAGTTGTTGTTTGGATTTTCACTCATAAACACGAATACATTCAGGGATAGCATGAGTTATTCTTATCTGAGTTCATCTATTTGTGTTTCAGGGGTGAACAGATTTTGAAAATTGGAGTGCTCTGTGTTACGGTTTCCTTCAGATATGATTCACTGCTCTCTATTTATTTTCCAATTCCCTGGCTTTCACTCATGATTTGTCTCAATTTGGGGTAGTTTTGCTTGGATTCTTTGCATTTATTGTTCTGCTTTTGATTCTGTGGGTGTTGACTGTTTTTTGTGTGTAGGCATATTAGTCTGAAGGTGTCATTGAGTTGATTGTTGGTTTTTTTTTTTTCCCCCTCCTTAAATTTAATAGTGAGCATATGGGAAAAATAAGTTATTTCAGAAGGTCTGGTATACTGAAATGGCTGCATATTAGTCAGCATGCAGAAAATAAGGTTAATCTAGCAGAGGCATGAAGACAGAGGTAGGCCCTTTGATCATCAGTCCAAATTCATGGAAGGAATTTGGCTTAGTCCGTCTAATGATCTGAGTCCAAACATTAGGGAAGATTACCCATCCTTCAGAAAACTCTTTCTTCTTCCTCCTATAAAGAGAGAAGCAGTAATTCCTCAGCACACAAACAAGAAAGCAGCTCAGGAAAAAGGAGGAATCATGCTAAATAGTGCAGTGTAGCATGGAGCAAAACCCCCCAAGCTATCCCTAGAAGTGTAAATGCATTTGTTCCACATGATGTATTACTTACCATCTGTAGATGCTCACTGGGATTACTGAACTAAAGTCACTATGTTGTCACAGTCAGCATTACATCCTAGAGTACAGTCTGGCAATTTGTGGGGTGCCTCAGCTGTTCTAATTCACATATGATGCCAGAGTAGAAGCCTCCAACTCAAACTCTGCCCAATGCTTCACCGCAGTGTTGACATGCCCAGAAAATTGCTTCATGCTGTTTAATCCAAATCTCCCCTGCTGGCAGCATATTGGAGGGCTTTAAGAGTTTTTCAGTACTTTCATATTTCCCTCCACTGCCTCAAGGAACAATATAGTGATGCTGAAAAACAGAAACTGAAAGCCAGTGGTCTGATGGACTCTTTGCGTAGACTGGATGATTTTGGGAGCAGATATGTCATCTAACTGCAGTTTTAAAACCTGTACCAGGTCTGTTTTGGTATGTTTAAAGGTACAACAATAAGTCTTCTGCATGGGAAATGAGATGCCAGCAGGAAGTCTGGGTTGCCCATGTGTGTTCTAACACAGAAACTGAAGAGTTCTCCCAGGCATGTTAGTGTTGATGGAGTGTGTGTGTCATCAGCTAGATGACAGGTGCTGGTTTTCAGTACATTCAAGAAAGTGCTGAGCATTAGCACACTGCAGTTGAAACAAGAAGAACTTCCACCCAGCAGCTCCTCAGAAACTTTTGTGGATGGTTTTCAATGCTGTCATGGTACCATGATAGTAGCATGAATGGAACAGAATGTGGCTGAGACCCCCTGTGAATCCCATTATATTTTTTTCAACATTTTTTGCTCAGATGGAAAAGATTAATATGCTTATCTTTTGCTATTTGAACTGCGTTCACACATGCTGTACACTGTTGTTCTGTTGTATAGGGATGACTAATTTACAATTACATTCCAAATAGATATTTTCTGTGTTATTTGAACATCTGTACCTCAGCAAACATAATTATATCTGAACAGTACGTGATTGCTGTCCTAAAGAAATGACCGTACCTTATAGGTTATGGGGAGGCACATATGTCAGCTGAAAGAGGTTGGGCAGATTCTGGATTAATAATCAATAAAAGAAGCCAGGGCAATGTGAACTGCATCTTGAGTAGTCTGTTTGTAAGAAAAGGGTGATCAAGGTCCTGAGGAGAGGAGTGAGGTCAGAGGACTTGCATGGGAAAGGCTGTGAGAGAATAACCAGAGTCTCTGGAGGGAAGGGAAAAGAATGAATATGATAAAGCCATGTGTAGTCTTGAAACTTATCTCTGCCCACAAACCTGCAAGCTGTTCAAGATAGGGGCTGTCTCTTTCTCTTTGTTTGCACCAAGCATGATAAAACAAGATTCTGATTAGTCTGTCTGGGCATTACAGCAGTGCAAGTAATGAGAGGACTGAATCTGCTCAGTGTGCTTCTGTTTACAGTAAAACACAGTTTCGTTCCAGAAATGATGCTTTCCCTTTTCATTTTACAGCTGCTTGTGGAGGACTTCTGACAAAGCTAAATGGGACTATAACCACACCAGGGTGGCCCAAAGAATATCCTCCAAACAAAAACTGTGTGTGGCAGGTGGTTGCCCCAACGCAGTACCGAATTTCAATGAAGTTTGAGTTTTTTGAGTTAGAAGGCAATGAAGTGAGTAACTGTGAACAAAAAGCTGCACAATCTGTTATACGCTAAACAGTTTAATGAGCGTTCAGAAATAGATATTGCCTTATAAAACCCTCACTTAACTGTTTGCACACTGACAATAACCATAGATATTCTTGGTTTTGTTCTGGGACTGTTTCTGGGTTCTTTCAAAACAAACATGGAGAGAATATCTTTCTTTTATGTATCAACTGAATGTATGTGTATTATAAGAAATTTAGAAGACATGTTCTCTGCTGAGTCTCAGCTGACTTTTTTTTTATCAACAAAGTAAAACAGAACAAATGTCTGAGACGTATTGGAAAGAATTCAAGACAAGAAAATCTGGAGAAACCAAATCATCTTTACAGACTATGACTGCAAAGATTACACATAAGGTTTGGTTAGCGACAGAGCCAGGGAACGTTTAAATCACTTGCAAGCCTCTCAAGGGTGAATGTTTTACAAGGAACAGTACTCAAAATAAGGCACAATGGAGTAACAACGCTGTTTGAAGAATGCCATTTGTCTCCATGTGAATCTGGATTGGGTCTACTTAGGAGATGTACTTTGAAAAAATAACAGCACAACTGCAGTGCTTCTGCCCAAGGCTGTGTTAGGAGCAAGTCACAAGCCAGCTTCCACCACTTGGCTGGACTCTTTCCAAGCATCTTGTCAGTGCAGACCAGGAGCATGCAGTGCTAGCTGGAGGTGGCAGCCACCAAGCAGGGAAGCCCAGGGAGTCCCTAAATCCTTTCTCATCCCAGGGGAAAGGGACAGAGCAGAGATCACTGTGTAGGAAGTGCTGCTCCTTCTAGCTTCAGGCAAAACAGTGGGCATGTTGCTTATTGCATGATACTTATTGGGTATCTAGAAGTATGGGTTTCACATCAATGTTTAGACTCTGCTTCCTAGGCTTGGCTCTGTTATACCATCAAATTCCCTTGCTACACTCATACATTTTTTTTTCTGCAATTTCTTGATACTTAAGCCAGATTTGCAAGCAAGGTGCAAGAGGCTTTATCTGCTTTCTAAGGTTATGCAGGACATGCAAGCTCTGCAGATATGAAAAGTACATAAATAGATGTTTTTCAGTGTTTATAGCTTTGTTTTGACCCTCTCAGTGGTACTAAATCGACTTCAGCTTTATATTGTTAACTGTGAAAATCAGAAGAAACATACATAATTAATGGGACATACAGATATTTTCAGAGTGCAGACTTAATGTCTGCCTGTATACATTTAGCATTTTAATTTTTTTGTTGTTTTAGGAGCTCCGTGAAGTACCAGTATTAAAATTCTACTCTTTTGCATTCACATTTTACAATTTTAATTTTGTGATTATCTTTTAATTCTATTTGTATTTTATATAGGACAGTAAGACCAATCTCAAATTACATTGCATTTTTAATCTAAACCTATAAGAGCATCACAGTTCATCACTGATATACTGTTGAAATTATAGACATTGTGAATTATATCTGAAAGTGGTAGGCATAATTATTATTTATCCTACAATTAATATAAATCAATATATAATAGTAACTCAAGTTTTATATCTTTGTTCTTTGCCTTGTATGAATATGATTTCAGCATTTCTTTTATGACTATAAATTGTGATTTATCAAATACAACCCATATTTAACGGAGAGTCTAAGCTTGGTATGAATCCTCCTGGCCACTGTTTTCTCTTAAGCTATTAATTGCAGGCAGCTGGGGCATTTTTGATTAAATGATTAATTGTTGAGCCTAAGAAGCTTAGAAGTTTTTGGGTGGAAGGCTTTATGTTGGCCAAGAGATTATGCATTGAATGTATTATCATGAGTAGTAGGCCTTGCAGAAGGTTTTTTATTACATTATTGTATCTTATTTTATTTTTAACTAATCAGGGAAAGCCACACGTATTAGCCCTCTGTAGCTGTGCTACACTTAAAGAAAGATTTGTAGAGTTAATAGTGCAGATTTATATGTTCATGAGTAAATGAATATCACGGATTCATAGAATTATTTGAGTCGGAGGAGACCATTAAAGGCCATCTAGTCCAACTCCTTTGCAATGAACAGGGACACCTACAGCTAGCTCAGTCTGCTTATGGTAAAATGCTCTGATAAAAACCTCTCTTGTTATGATTCTAAGCAAACAGATTTTTTTTTTTTTTAATTTCTGAGGAGCAAACTGTTGAATGTTTGTAGGATTTGGGTACTTGGCTTATTGCATAAAGATAGTTGTAAATTTATAGGGTGAACATTTCTAGATTTTAGTCAAATTCTGATATTTTTACTTCTTAGATTTGATTCATATTTTAAGCATTTTAAAATCGAAATATGTAGATTGTGAAAAATAATGGAATTTTGAGTATAAGACCTCTTAGTCTTACTGACTTTAAATATGCTCGTGTAAGGTGAACAACTGTAAGCATTTGCAAATGTTTTCAGGTTCAGGAAAATGTGGAACGATATTTTAATATATTAGTGGTACATAGCATTTGAAGTCCTTGCGTTTGTAACCAATTTCATGCTTTTCCTTTGGTTAGCTAAAAAAAAATAAAGATCTCTCTTTTTCCCAGGTGTGCAAATATGATTACGTGGAGATTCGCAGCGGCCTTTCTTCTGATTCTAAACTCCATGGTAAATTCTGCGGTACGGAAGTGCCTGAAGTTATCACCTCACAGTACAACAACATGCGAATTGAGTTCAGGTCTGACAATACCGTGTCAAAAAAAGGCTTCAAGGCACACTTCTTTTCAGGTACAGAAAATCACTCTTGTGTACCTATGAGAGCCTCTGAACACACACTGCCTGGGTGGAATGAATATTGCGTTCTGGTGTGAAAGCGAGCTGTCCTCCCCTCGTAATTTTCACTGCAGTTTTAATTTTTGTTTTATTTGCAAAAGTATAATCCACTTTTCTTTCTTAAAATTCTGTTCTGAATTGTAACGTCTGCATATGGTAGAAAATACGTAGAATGCACATTCATACGTTTACAGAATCACAGAATCACTAAGGTTGGAAAAGACCTATAAGATCATCCAGTCCAACCATCCACCTATCACCAATGGTTCTCGCTAAACCATATCCCTCAACACAACATCCAAACGTTCCTTGAACACCTCCAGGGAAGGGGACTCCACCACCTCCCTGGGCAGCCCATTCCAGTGCCTGACCACCCTTTCAGACAAGTAGTATTTCCTATTTACATTACAAAGGAGTTTAAAAAAAGCTTTGTAAGATAAGAAGAAAGGAAATCTAATGAGTGTTCCTAAATTTCTGTTAGATTTCTTTTCTCCCAAGTTCTGCTGCTAAGTTTTTTCCACGTCCCACTTCCAATGTGATATGAATTACATGCTGTGTACTCTTGCCTTTTTTCCACTCAGATCTCTTAATATATTACATTAGTTATAAAATTACTACCTTGTGATGGAACATTTGCTTAGCATTACGGGTTCTTTCTTGCCAAACTTTGCACTTCTTAATATACTGCAGAAAAACAGATCTTCATACTTTCAAAAAAAATTGTCTATCTTTATTGGACTGTAATTTCTCTGGAGCAGATCAGAGCTGTCAGTTTATGTTGTAGAAGGACACGTGTTCTTGCATGAAGTTATTTAGACATAAGTGAAGCTTGAGATCTGTGGACAGATTTGCACAACAGAGGTCTTTGCAATTACCTGCTGAAACTAGATTGCAATCATCTGGCTATGGCAGAATAACAACTTGTGTTAGTAGTGTCATTTTGCATCGTGCTTTTCATGTTCACACGTATGCATAGGTATGTTATGTCATGTAAAACATAATAACAAGACAGTTCCCTCTCTGAAAACTGTGGAAACAATTCAGAAGCATCTGGGATTTGCATTTCGCCGCTTTTGTTTTCTTGTAGCTGTTGAAAACCTGAATCTGAAAAATCCTGATTATTTTTAGCATGTAACAAATGTGTTACCAGTCACCATTATTAGGGTTTGCTCACTAAAATGCTAAAGCAAAGCTGTCATGTAAATGGTATTGCACTGATTAGCTCTAATAATCTGGACTATGGCAACGTAAGGTAATGTGAATCAGGATGCCATATGAGGCATAGGGAAGTACAAGGAATGGGAAGTGGGGAAAGTGAATGTCACGAAAGGCAACAAAACTTCCAGTGTTTTCCCATTATGACTTTGATTATTTATTTATTTATTTATTTATTTATTTATTTATTTTAAAAGCAATAATGCAGAAAAAATGGGATTTCTCTCATATGAAAAAATGAGCTTTTGAGAATATAATTTTCTCCTAGTCATCACGTTTCTGTAGTCACGTTCATTCAGATCTGTCTTTGCATGTAGTATTACCTTTTATGTAGTTTTAAAATGGTACTTTGCATCAACAAGAGACTATCAGGGTTTGCTCAGTACTTGTAGTTATATATGCACACAGCAGAGCTTCCTCATAGAAGATTTTATACAACTATTCAATTCATGGAGACCTAGGAGTGCCAACAGGCATTGGCACTTAGTGTGACTTTTTGCAATAAATATTTTTGCAGTTAAATACTGGTGTTCCAGTTCTAAAAATGGCCTTTATTACATAGTTCAGAATCTATGAAGCTATGACAGATAAGCTTGGCAATTATAGCTCTGAAATTTGTATGCATTGTAGTTCAGGAATTATGGTTTGTGGCCATGCTGAACGTGACACATGCAAATTCACTTAAATTTCTGTTTTCACTGTTTTTGGTGCTTGTTTTTTGTTGTTGTTGTTTTTAAGCTTTTTTACTGTTTATATAATTAATGTTATGAATGTGTTGTAGAAAGAACTCAGGTAACTGCTGTATGTTTGGGAAGAACTGGGCTGTAATTCATGCAATTCAAAGCATCATGCTGTAATCCTTCAGAACTGTTTCAGTTTTGAATGTAATACTATTTTTTTTTGTCCCTGGTTGAAAAGAGATTTTTCTTACTAATCTAAAAATGATAAGTTTTAAATGTTTCCATTGATCACCAGAATAAATCCATTAGCCGGGGCTAAGTCTGAACCAATGTGTTTTTTTTTTAATGAATGGAAATATGTGCTGGGTATTGAGTATATCTAATCCTCTTCAAAGAAACATAGTCTCATGTAGATAGTCTTTGAGTCTGTAAGTATATAAATGTGCTGAATGCTTCGCATTGCATTTCTGCTGCAATCTCTGCTTTCATTTCATGAGTTCAACCGCTCTGTATTTTCTTTTTATTCTTCCTCAACTTTTCTGATTATCAGTTTTAGAAGATTCTATTCTTATATGTTGCCTTTGATTTCTTGATCAAAACAGAAACTTTGGAATGCTTGAGACGAGTCAAATTATGAACTTAAAGCTCAAACAAAAGGCTTTAATCTCAGAGTAATTCATTGGACTCAATTCTTCTGGCTGTCAGAAAATGATATAGTTTTATTATTCCTGAATTCCTTAATATAAATATAATATACTGTTCATCCATTAATTAAGCATGGACTTGAGACTTCATCTTGTGTATTTTGACTTTTGGGAGTTAATAGCTCATCACTGTTCAGCTGACCGTGTAGTTTTTTTCTGCCTCTTTATAAGCTTGTCTTCTGAAAGAAGTACATTTAGAATGTAATCTACAGAGAAATACTTAATGTTAGTTATTAGTGTACAGGATGCTTACTAGAAGACATTTAATATTTGTAAACATTTAGTTGTAAAACCGTATCTCATGAAAAAAAATCAGTAAAGAGTAGAGCACTGCATCTTGCAGTCTGTTCACTCCAGAAAGCTCAGCAGAAGGGAGTTAGATAAATCAAACCCATATGAAGATGAAGAACAGTGATGTGTTCCTCGAGCACCACCAAGAAAGTTTTTCCAACTCTTTCAGTGATGAATTCCGCAGCCATGGCTATAGTTGAGGAAATATGGCTGAGCTCCAGCTCAGATGACAGAAAGCAGTTTTTGGGTGATTGAAAACCAATGCGATAAACTGTGAAAGCAAACAGTGACACAGGGCACAAAAATGACCTGCACTAAGAAGCTATTTTTGTTGATGTAAGAAGACATATAATTGCTTATTTGGCTGCAAAATGGTGTTAACAGCCAGCCAGGTGCTATGGGAAAGTGAGAATTTCTTATTTATTTATTTATTTTTAGCATTCTGTAGAATTTACATTTGATGGGACAGATCTGAAAGAAAAGATTAGTTGGTAACCATTGCAGCATCCGTCTAACCAACAGAGAATGTTGTATGATTATAATCCAGCTTCCTGGGTATAAAGTAGAAACTGGGGAGTTGTGACATTCATTTTTTAATACTTTTGCAAAAACGTTTTGGAATTGGCTTCTAAACTGAAAGCTTCCAGAAACAAACTATGTGCACTGTTGTGTTTTGGAATGGCTTTTTTGGTCTGTGCCTGTTTGTTTTGCTTCCACCTTCCTCTCTTCTGTCTTCTCTTTCGCTCTCTCTCCTCTTCTGCTCTTGGTGGAGGACAGTAAGCTACTCTAATCTGCTTGGAATAGAGGAGTGAAAGTTATAATATTATGTTAAAAAATATCTTCTGTGTTTTTTCCTATGATCTATTCCAATAATTTCTTTAAATCAATCTTTACTTGTCATAATGTCATTGAACTGCTTCCATTTATCACTAATTTTAGAGTTTTAAATGCACATAATTTTTCACGTGACCATTCAAGGTGTGGTAATTGATGTAATATAGAAATGATTTTTGGGACATCTTTTTCTTGGTTGATGATTCACTGATAAGTTAAAAAGAGAAAGCTAGGATGTTTTCTAGCCTTGAGCAGATTTGTTCCGGAGCACAAACTCATCTCTGGTGCCATCCTGGTACATTTTTTTCCACAGACAAGAAAACTACCTGCAAAGAGAAAATTTTTGTTTTCGAATCTTGCAAGGACTTGATACAGGTCCCTTCAGGCCGAGTACGTATTATTCACAGACTGGTGGCCTCTGAGGGTCTCAGAGGTACGACCATTTGTCCTCTGAATGATTTCGGTCTAACATTTTGTTGGGAATGGATCTTTCCCTATTCTGAGTACTGAAATGAGAGAAGAAAGAAAGTATCCATTCAGAACCGGGAAACTCATTTCCATCTGTCAGCATAACAAATGGCTTTGTTTTTACATGGCAAAACATTTGTTCCTATAACTAATACAGACTAATTGTTTTGTTTTTTGTTTTTTTTTTGGTTTTTCATGAATTTTTAAAACTGGGCAATGAATTTGACAGAAAATCTGTTCCAAACTATGAAGTGTGAGGAAAGCTTGTTCAACAGTTGCATCCTTGATTAACCATCTACAAATAATTATTGTAGTTCAGATATGTACGAAAGCTTCTCTTTTCTACCTTCTGTCCATGGTTTTATATCAGTTTCATCTCGGAGGAAGTCCAACTTGGGACTGTTTTCTTATGCACTTGTCTCTAATAGATTGTTTTACAGAATAAAGAGCTCTTTAATGTTAAAATACTTTTCTCTATTTTCACAGTTTGATGGAAGGTGAAAATGGAGAGTGCTTTCATTGAGAATTTCCATACTTACCACGTACTGGAAAATCAAACTTGAATGCATTTTGAGCTTGCCTTCCATTTATTATGTTATTTTGGTAGAAAACTGCAAACTAATACTTAGGTGGGGAAATATTGAAGAGTTTTCTTCATTAAACATTTGATTTCTCATTTGTTTGTTACTATTCTTCACTTGCAACGTGGGATTAATTTATGATAGCGCTTGCTTTTGCAAGGATGAAAGATTAAATAGTTTTGTTTGAAATGAAGTAGATTTAATGCCTCCATTTGAGACTCGCATTACAAGGTGCAGAAACAGTATATCGTGGAAGCCTTTATGCTTCTTTCATCATCAACGTGATGACTACTGATACCAAGCTTTGGATGTGTCACTCTGGGACCAACATACTTTTTTTGCTGTTTCTTAATCCTCAGATCTGTTCACATCTACAAAAAGCTTTCAGGATCTTTCAGTGTAAAAAGATTTGAGATCTACAGGGAAAAAAATGCAGTAGATGCTTAGGTTAGACTGACAGGATTTCTCTACACCATCATTATGTATTAGAAGTAGAAATTGATTTTTTTACTGAAACACCTGCATGTCGATTAGTCAAGTGTTGCATACATTTTGGCAGATAAAGCTGATGTCTACGTAATTATAATGCAGATTTACTTTGTTGTCTTACTGAATGCAAGCAACAGTAAAACTGAGGAAAATATGTAAGATGACAAAAGAGACTTAAATTATCTATAATGTTTGTAATCTGTAGAAATTCTTACTGTGCCTAATGAACTCTGAAGCATCACATGTTAACTTGTTCAGAGATAACACTTACTGTTGCTTTCCAAGGCACATGAGGCTGAAGGGGACACATACTGTGCATTCCAGCCTTGCAATAAATGGACATCTGGAATGACCATTATTCCTTTGCACATTTTCCTTTTCTATTTTGTATGTTGAAATGGCAGAGTCTGTAAGATGCAGTTGTATGTCAACATTTATACACACACACGTAATAATATAATATATATTTTTATTGGTCAGGTTTTACACTAGTGTGTATACATATGTATATAAATGTATATAACCATATCTATATACATGTGTGTGTGAGTGTATATATATATATATATATATATGTGCACACACGTCAAGAGCAGTCTCCCTGTCTCAAATGGACTGGCCTCAACTAAAATGACAACAGCTGAATGACATAGAAGGGTGGCAGCTGAGGCCTCTTGCTAGAATGACAGCCTGTTAATCTAGTTTGGCTTTTTTCCATGCAATGAATTTTTAGCTGTTTAATGCAGGTCATATTTCCTCCCCTACTCTCTGCTTTACTTCTAACACACTAAAAGCTCTTTTTAGGGATTATATGTTAATAAACAGAACTGCATGCTATATTGTAGATCTCCTTGAAATAATTAATGCCAGTTTCTTTTGTATGCTTTTCAATGAAATGTTTTACTTTTCAAGATATTCTGTAATGTCCAGATTCATTTAAAGTAAAGCACACTGCCACTCTTCTGGAAAGAAAAAGCAACTTATTCAGAAAGTTTATGTTAAGTCATTCTTTTTTTACATCTTAAATGTGCAGAGCTTGAAGCCTTCTTTGGCCTCTGTCTGCCTTTCAGCACGCCACTGTTAAATTGTGGAATTTGTATAGAGCTGGAATATTTTGCATTGGTTATAAATTGCACTCCTGTTGTTTATCAAAATAAAGCTCTGGATTAAATATTTATGAAATCTTTACCAGCTAGACCACTTGAAGGAGTAAATGCTGCTATCTGTCTCCTTTGCTGCAGCTTGTTTGATTATTAGTGTTCCCCATCCCAGAGATCTGTCCCTCACCTCTAAGAAAGATGAGGCAGAATATTTGAGCCATGGTGTAGGCTGAGCAATAAGCAGATAGAAGTAAGTTAGCACAAAACTGAGAAGAATGACTGTGCCTTCGTTTATCCTCTTCTGATCTCAAAGTGTATGCTGAACTCTTTTGTTTTTGAGGACTTCTTCTGTCTGCTCACCCGTTCTTGTTGTGTATTTCTTAGACAAGGATGAGTGTTCAAAGGACAATGGTGGTTGCCAGCACGAGTGCATCAACACGGTAGGAAGCTATGTTTGCCAGTGCCGGAATGGATTTGTGCTACATGAAAACAAGCATGACTGCAAGGAGGGTAAGTTGTATGGGATTTGGACAGTAGATGATACAATTCTTTCAGCAAGATCTTTGCAGCAATCCTTCCCGGGGAACAAAAAAAATAGATGTTGTCTTGCAGGTCTTAGATATTTGGGTGAAACAATCCCTTTCTCCTGTTCCTTCACTTCCTCCATCCCTAGCACTTGTGCTGAGTTTGAGGTTCCATAGGTTTAGAAAATTAGGAATTATTGACCACTCCACTTCAGCAGGGAATGCTACTTTTAGTAGTGCTGTGAAGTGTAGAGCATTTAGAGCTGTGAGAGGATATTAATCTAAAGCAGTATGAAACAAAGAGACGGAGTTTTTGAAGAGGAGCCTGGTAAAGTTGTCATTTGCTTCCATCACTGGCTGTGAGCCTCCTCACATTTAGACTGGCATTGGATCTGCCTTCGTGAGACACTGTTCAGGCTTTATTTTGGGGGGGACGTATTCAGACAATCTAAATTCCAGTCAAGTCTCTGCACCTCTTTCTTCCTATTTTCTGTCTAAAGTTGTGACTACCTCCAAGCAAACAGTAGGCTTGGTGACTTAAGTACCATTTAGATGATCTGCAAATAATCCTTAAGTGTGTAATATCCTATGAGCCTCTGTAATTTTTTAAGGCTGTTTTCTAGCATGTCTCCTTTGTGAATCACTTGTGTTATCCCTGACTTTGGATTGATAATTGCCTCTTCTAAAAAATTATTGTTAAATAATTCTCTTATGCTTATAGAGTCGTGAGATTGTTTAAGAGAAACAAAACAAAACAAAAAACCAAGCAGGTGTTTTTTGCTTGCCTTCTTCGTGTCGTAGGTATTTTATTTATTGAGAGAAGCACTTCTGGATTCAGTTTTGATAGGAACGACACAACTGTTCTTGGTGCATAGTAAGAATTCAGACTTAGCACTTATATACTTTTCCCCAGAAACTATGTTTTAGGTTGTTCTTTAGCTGATTGCTCTGTACTTGCAATATGAAAATTTGTGAGAAGAAAACCACGTTGTTCAAGAAATATCATTTCACGTTGCATTGGCAAGATATCCTATGTGGATTTTCATGCTTATTTGCAAGCAGAATGGGGGATAGATTAGCATATTTGACTGTATTTTAATGCATAGTTTGTGTGTATTTATGTATTTACATCAAACAAGTAATCCATTGTAAACAACAGTCTATGTTTCACAAATCAAAGCATGCTAGGTTAATTGCCATAAAGTGTTTGTCAAAGAGGAGGAATGTGATCCTTCACACTTGGGAGGGTGGTTAGCTGTGTTCCTAATGATCCTTTCAGTTCAGTGGGTCACCTGACGAACAGTGTACTTTTCTGGCTACCTCTGAATACAGAATTTATTTGATGCTCTCATTGTTGGCACAGCTGAGTGTGAACAGAAGATCCACAGTCCCAATGGCATCATTACGAGTCCCAACTGGCCTGACAAGTATCCCAGCAGAAAGGAGTGCACCTGGGAAATCAGTGCCACCCCTGGGCAGAGGGTCAAATTGGTGAGTAGCATCTGCACAAAGCCAATGGCGTTGACCTGTCCATGGGGCTTATCTGCTCTGAGCTCAGCCCCAGGGTTTTTTCAGCCCAGGGTACTTAGGGGAGAGCCCCATAGCTCTCTACAGTACCTGTAGTGAATGACTCCTTGGTTCAGCAGTGAAGGAATTCCTCCCATTGTTCCACATCTTCCACTCATCCGAAATAGGGCTTTTTAGTTCTACAGAAATGATATTAGAATGAGTATGCAGAGCCCTCCTCACAGGTATTAAAGCAATAAACAGACGTGCTACAGTAATACTCGGGAGAAAGATTCACAGAATCACCAAAGTTGGAAAAAGACCCACAAGATCACCCAGTCCAACCATCCAGCCATCACCAGTAGTTCTCACTAAACCATGTCCCTCAACACAACATCCAAACGTTCCTTGAACACCTCCAGGGTCACTGACTCCATCACCTCCCTGACATGCACAGGCTTTGTCCTAAAGGTCTTAGCAATGTGAACGTGTTAGATGTGCAGATGGAAGGAGAGAAAAATTGATGTATCAAAAATTTTGGAGCAAGGAAACCAAAGAAGAGATGTGTCTCTGCTTTAAGGAAGTAGAAGCAGTAGCCTAAATTGTTACGGGGTTGAATGGGATATTGCCACCTCAAAACTCCTCACCTTAACCACAGCCATAAGCCCTTGTTACTGGTGCTGATGTGAGGTCATTTGTTGATTCCAGATCTCCAGAATTAAAAAGGTTAATATGTTCCTTCAGAGTAGGAGGGGTGGAACAAGTAGTGCATGATCTGTTCATCCAAAGGGTGAAAAACAGGTTTTTGTTTCAGATGTCCTTCCTTACTGCCAACTCTGAACAGCACTTCATCCCGTCTGCATAAGCAAAAGCCAGTCAGTCATTTGTAGGGGCATGTTACCATAAAATCTTTCTTCAATACATTAGTAAAAGAAAAGTATTTACAATGCTTTTTGCCAATGAATTTTGAAAAAAAAAGAAAAACAACAATTTTACTAAATTTTGTGAAGTAAAATTTGAAAAAATAGCCTTATGATTTAGAGCCTGAAATCCACTTTTCTATAGCCAGTAGTGTCAGCCTACTGAATTCTGTATGTGTAGGATGTTTAAAATCTGTCTAGTGCAGCAAAATGTCATATTAATAATATTAAAGCAATACTTCCAGAATAGATAAAAAAAAATTTCTTGGACTTCTATACCGTATCCAAGTTTATTCCTCACAGTTTACTTAGCCAAATTAAAGAAGGAGAAAATTGATTTCCTTGTGCTGACAAACCATGTGAATTGTGAGGCTGTGTTTCATTTTCTGAGGGGGCTGTCTGAGCAGAAACTAATCACTTCTGATTGTTCTCGCTCTGATAATCACTGAAGTCTCTTCCTGAAAGGGTAGAGTTAAGCATTTGGTGTAATTAAGAAGCCAATGGGGAAAAAAAAAAAAAAAAGAAATGCACTTCTGAATTTTTAAATGAAACACGCAGATAAAGATGGCTTTGAAAATAGCTGTATCAGAGAGAAATTTTCTTAGGTTAATCAGCCGGATGTTTATAAGACAGACTTAAGTGTCCCATTCAGGCAGCTGTCCGTAGGTGCCACCAACATATCAACCCAGTAAGTGCTATAGATAGATAGAAAGGCTGGCTGTTCAGAAACTGTACGTAACATTTCTGAGTACCATTCCCACTAATAAGACAAGCAAAGTGGGGACTGTGATGGTGGAGGAGTAGATATTCAAAAGTATTTGTCCCAGGAAAGGCCAGGTGTGATTTAATTATATTTCCAAATTTATTAAGTTATTTGTGAACACTGCTGACACGAAATAGTAGAGAGGAAGTTCATGTTTGTTCTTCTCTGACAAGCCTCTTCATAGTCCATAGCTAGGAACTGACCTCTGAAAAAAGAGAAAAAACAAAGATTCCCTCAGAATGCTTAAAAGTGTTAGACTTGTGTTTCCTTTTAAATACATTTTCTTTGATTCTACTTATAATTTCTAGACTTATGAACTAGACTGAACAGATTTATGAATGTTTTCTGTTTTCCTTTGCGGGACTCAGCATCAGGTATACTGTCTTCCTGATGGTTTAGGAATTGCAATGATAATTGGAAAGAAAAAAAAATTGAAAATTATAGACATGTCTTATAGTTCATGGTGAGAAGTTTTCTTCTAGCGAGCGATACGTTTGTGCTGATAAGAAGTAGATAAACTAAAAAAAAATTGGAAACTGGATCACGTCTGTTGCTCCCACTGACTGAAAATTGGCTTCTCTCAATTCTGTGTATAAATAATTCCTTTACAGTTAGTCTCACTTTTTTTTTTTTAATTTTATTGGGTATAAACGATTGTATGTGCTTGGCATCATAGAAGTAGGATGTCTGACAACAGTTGAAGAGCAGCAGGAGGAACTGCTTTACAGCTGTTTTCACTGCTTCTGCAGTTTTGTTCCCTTAATAGAAAACACTGAGTTTTCTCTGCTGTGAACTTATGTTTACCGTTTCGTTCAACTTTCCACTTTTCACAAAATGAAAATCTGAAGGCTGCTCCAAAACTAATACCTCCTGTTTTACGATGGCGGCTCATGACATCAGAGGCAGAAGTCAGTATTATGGCAGTAGAGGTTGAACTTTCCTGCCAGGATTCCATTACATGTTGTTACTGCGTGACAGAGGCAGCAAAAAGAGCAGTCTGACAAATGATGTCTGACATTGGAGAGCGTATGAAGCAAAGGGGTGGAACTGAATTCTTCCACGAGGAAAAAAATGGCACCTATTGACATTCATCTGTGCTTACTGAATGTTTGTGGAGACCAAACAGTGGATATGAGCACAGTGAGGGCAGTGGGTGCTGTGTTTCTGCAGTGATGTGAAAACAAGCCATGTTCTGGATGGCCAATGCAGATTTTTACAAGAGTGGCATGCAGGATCTTGTTCATCTCTGGGGAAGATCCACAGCTAATGGTGTTGAAAAATCCTGTTTTGTAGCTGAGAACTTGCTCTATCAAATGGCTGTTGTGTTCTTCGTATCTGTTGCAGTTTCCATGGAAATAAACAGGAGGCACTGCTTCCAGTGCAACTTATGTAATATTTTATTATTCTGGTTCTTTGGGCAAAAGGCTTTATATGTTATCAGTTGATATTTCTTTTATGTAAATTATCACATTTTGTATTGGCTGGATTCCACAAGGAACTCTGTAGGTTGGGTTTCCTTTGGTGTGCCAAATACAATGCTTAATTATGATATTTGTTCAGTAACTGGCAGGGGGAATTTTTTTTTTTGTTTCATTTTGTTTTGTATTTTTATATAACTTCTTAACTGTTTGGTATTTTTTGTGTGTTTATTTTGTAGCTATATGATTACTCAGCTGTGTGAGTACTCACATGACCACTTTCACTTTGTGTTTTCATATTTTCAATTCTGCCTTGAACAGTAGGTTAATTGTAAAAAAATAATAATAATAATAATTCACAAAGTTGTGTATGTATATTAGATTCTCAGTAAGAGAGGCGAAAGTACCAGCATTTTAATCAGGTTCATACTTGGCCCTGGTCAAAAAGCCATATGTGAAGTCTTTTAGATGTTCTCTTAACGTAAATTTATTGCCACTTGTTCAGTCTTGGAAGACGCTCTTCCTTGTTTGAAAAGCAGCTGTTAGTTTTCTGCCTTTGTTTAGGTACTCTAAGAAGTCTAAATCCCAGAAATTTTTATGAGATTGTTGCTCAGGCTCTACATCAAATGGCTCACAATTTGCATTTCTTAATAGAACTCAGTTTGTCCTGACAAGCTTCCTCGAGCATTCATAGAGACTATAAGAACTCAGAAATTAAAACAAATGTTTTGAAGTGTAGAAAAAACATCACAGACTTGAAATGAAGTAGTTTTGTTATCACTGTGTTCAGACCGTTGCAGTAATCTGAATCTTCTTGGGAGAGCTGAAGAAAGCAAAGCAGTCTGCTGAAGTGTTTAATTTTTTATATATAATTATATAATAAATAATTTTCCCATTTCCCATAGTTGCACTAGCAAAAATGTGATATTAGCATGAAGGATGCAGCTTGAAGTGTTGTTAGTGTAGTAATAATAGAAATTCCATCATTAAAATTATCACATATAACCAGGCATGTGGAAAGGCCATTCTCAAAGGCTTCAGTTGTGAAGCGAGGTTAAGAAAAAAAGATGCTCCAAGGCCTCAGTTATCTGAAGCACCAAAAGACTCCCTGCTTTTTGCTCTGTTTCAAACGTTCTGTGAAATTTGGAAGAATCCTACAGACTTGTTACTCTAAAAGAATGCCAGATCTAGCATTCTAGATCTAGAACAGAAATTCATTGGCTATAAAGATGTGATTCAAACCTATGGAGTTGTAGGAGCAGTAATGCTGTAATCTGTTGTTTCTACTTTGTGTTCTGAAACAGTATGCTAACACTACATAGGTACCTTATAAATACAGTACTACACTGACTCATTTTGCTTCTTTTTCCCCAGACTTTCAATGAATTTGAGATAGAACAACATCAGGAATGTGCCTATGACCACTTGGAAGTGTTTGATGGTGAAAGTGAAAAATCACCAATTTTGGGACGTTTATGTGGCAGTAAGATACCAGAGCCTCTCATTGCTACTGGAAACAAAATGTTTCTCCGCTTTATTTCTGATGCATCAGTTCAAAGGAAAGGCTTCCAAGCAACACACTCTACAGGTCAGAATATCAGGATGTGGCTTACTAATAACTTCCCTTTCATTCTTTAGTGGAAGATATTCAAGCATTTCTTTTTATAGGAACAGGATGATTTGAAAGATAACACAATGTTACAACTAAGCCTAATGAAACAGTAGGAAAAATTGGAGATTGCAGAAAACATTCTCTAATATTTTAGACATTTCTTTCTTTCTTTTTGTCTCCCATTTTTTCTTTTTCTTGCTTTCTCTTTCAGTTTTCTAAGTAAATGATTAAAGGATTTTAAAGCAAGATCTGATGTAAATAAGTTTGTCTAAGAGATATTTCACAGGATTCATTAGTTTATTAAAGTTTCAATAGCTTTTCATTGTATTTTAAATGGCAGTACTTCACTGAGGCATGTGATGCACCTCTATAACTTTTTATTCTAACTAAAACAAGAGTCTGGGCTTTGTATAAACAGCTATTACTTTCCTGCAGAGCTATAAAGGGAAAGACAAGCAAAAGAAGAGTAGGAAAAACAATACCGAAGATTGCCTAAAGAGCTTAGGAAAATAATTTCCTTCCCATTTACCATTTAATTTTGTCAGGAATCACTGAAATTGAAAAAGCAATTGCAGTAGTAGATAAGGGCATTTTCAATGTGCCTGCATAATTTTGCTGGCGTTGTTTGTCTTACAGTGGCCCCTAGTGCTGAATCTCTGAACTTCCACTGCCTGCTGTAAAACAGGGTTGATTTTGTGTTGTTTCATTTGTTTCTTTGTTGTTGGTGGTTTTTTTTCCCACTTTTCCTGCCTCAATATATTCCTTCGTTTTCCTTTTACTTTTTTCTCGATGAAAATTCCTCATACAGCAGCATTAACATTTTCTCTCTCTCTCTTTTTTTTTTTCCTTTGCTAAGAATAATTCTAAACCTGTATTCATTTAATTTTCAGAGAAAAGCAGTAGGAGGCAGCGTATGCACTGTTTTTCACATTGCATGATCTGGGCCTGGAAAAGGAAAAGCTTAACTACCTGTCATTCAATTCATGTTTTTCTTGTTGAAAAGCCTGTTTTACAAACATCTTCGTTAGAGTTCCCTACCTGAGTAACCCTTCCCCCTCAGCTGAAAACTAGATAGAAATGGTAACAGTTACTCATTTGTTAAATTACCATGAGGTAAGTAATTAAAGGTCAGAAGTCTTGTTAGAAACAGCTGGTGTGAAACTACCAAATAAAAGTGCTGAGTTTTATATGCCCTTAACTGTAAGAACTTTCTGAGCAAGCATAATAGTGCTCTTCTGAGAAAGTCTGGAGAATGAAATCTGCCCAGTTTTTAAGAATGCTGTAAAAATTACGGAGTTTGCCTCATAAAGCAGAACTAGGACATTTATTTCTCTAGTCTGCTGTTGTACAAAACGCTCATTAGGTTGAACAGCATGTCATTAGTATGAGCTTTGAAATACCGCCTGAACACCTCAGATCTTGCAGCTTTGAGGCCAAAACAGTTGTTCCATAGGAATATTATCTGCATGCTTTGGACATATTCATTAATGAATCTAACAAGTGTTTAAACTAGGGATTTTATTTTCTTATTGCTTTCTAGATAGAACTATATAGCAGCAATAAAGAATCAAAAAACAGATGGAATAAAAAGACTTTGCTCAGGTAGAGCAAAACTTACCAAAATACTGTTTCTGAAATGTAACAGAGAAGGGAAATTCATTAAGAAGGAATTTATAAAAGTCCTCCCGACAGAAAATTAAAGATCATTGCTTAAGGAGTGATCTGGTTGCTGTAACACCTGGATATCCCTTCTGGAAAGCCTCATTTATGTTGCCTGGTCACAAGCTGCTGTTGCAGGAGGTTCCAGATCTTCTGTAGGTCCTATTCTTATCTGCCAACCCTGGAACAAATCTGGGTATCTCAGATATCTCTCAGTTTAAGCTTTTAATTCGTTACTAGAACAGCTCTGAGAATTCAGTATGGCAATGCTGTATCAAAGTTATATTCTTGTTTCACTTGTTCAGGTGGAGTGGGAAGTAGTGGGTTTTAACCTGAAGCTTAAACCTTTTCCCATCTATCCAGCTTGTCAGTCAAGAGACTACTGCTCCATTTTCTGTTATCACTGTAAGAAGTCTGAGAGAACCTAAAAGACCTCAAGAGATACCTAAAATGTTTTTGTTTCTTAGCCGATCTAGAAAAAATCTCCCATCTAAAGCTATTATAAAAATAATACTTTACAGGTCAGACACTTGTGTACAATCAGATATGTACATTGCCATTACAGCACAACAGATACACCTGCAAAACTCTTTGATGACCAGTACAGGTGATGGTGCCTAGACTAAACCCAGCTGTCTGGCACTGCCTTCTGATGCAGCCCCATCATAGCCTGTGTCATACAGGCTAACGCAGCACTGCAAAAGTAGTCTTTTGAGAGTACAGCTTAGTTCTTAAGAAATGAAAAAATTAACTTCGAATTTCTAAAACAGGGCTGTTAGGATATGTTATTCTAAAATAGTAAAAGGCTGTGTTCCATGGGAGAAGGGCAGAGGAAACCTGTGTTCTGCTGTGGGGGCCTCTGAAATAAGAAGGACATGCTGGAGAGAATCCAGAGGAGGCAACAGGAATGATCAGAGGGCTGAAGAACCTCTCAAGAACTTCTCCTGTAAAGTGAGAATGAGATATTTGGCATTGTTCAGGCTGGAGAAGGCACTGGGGAGATCTGTAGGCCTTTCAATACCTTAAAGGAACCTGCAGGAAAAGCTAGAGAGGGACTTTTTGTCAGGGAATGCAGTGATAGGAAAAGGGGTGATGGCTTTTAGATATTCAGAAGTTTTTTACTCAGAACTTGATGAGTCATTGGCACAGGCTGCCCAGAGAAGCAGTGGATGCTCGATCCCTGGTTGGATAAGGATTTCTTTGGGCAACCTGGTCTAGTGAGAAGCACATCTGCCTGCAGCACGTGATTGGAACTAGATGATCTTTAAGGTCTGTGCCAACCCAAACCATTCTATGAAAGGGAATTGCCATTTTCTGCAGTTGCTGGTATGGCAACAACTTTCCTTTAAAGTCTGTAGTAAAAAGAAGGAAACAATGCAGACAGTTCATTAAACATTTGCTTCTTTAGCAGCTGTTCTGTGTCTGAAGCAGGGAGATGTTCTTAGTGTTGGCAACAGTCCAGTCAAGAAAACAAAGTCATAAAAACGTAAATGAAATCAAATACTGAAAAAAGGAAAAAATAATCAGTTAGTAAGAGTAACTATGAGAAATAAATGGTTGAAGTATCTCATTTTGCACGTTTTCTTTAATATGTGCCTTTTATTTTATGTCTTTCAGATTAGGATTTAAAAAAATGAGATTCAATAATAGATCATGTATAAACAGATTAGATTACTTACATTATTCATATTTCCTGTTTGGACTCATTCATTTGCTTGTTAAGAAAAAACACATTTTTAAAAAAATAATGATTTGCTCATTATTGTCATCATTACTTGGCACCTGGCCTGATGGCTGCAGATGGGTCTTGCCAGTCCCAAAGGGGAAAACAGATCCTAGCCCAGCAGTTGGCAGGGCTCATTGAGAGGGCTGTAAAGTGGGGATGAAGGTGGAAGGGAATAAAACCAGGCCTACTAGAGATGAGTCTAGAGGAATGGTGATGGGACTAGGGGTGAGGCATAGGGCTCAGCTGAAGTGCATCTACACCACGTAACATGGACTACAGACAGGAGGAGATGGATGCCATTGTGTGGCAGGCAAACTGTGAGTTAGTTGCCATTACAGAAACATGGTGGGATTGCTCCCATGACTGGAGTGCTGCAATGGATGGCTACAAGCTCTTCAGAAGGGGTAGTGGTGCAACTCTCTATGTTAGAGAGTGATTTGATGTTGAGCTTGGGTCTGGGAATGATAAGGTTGAGTCTCTATGGGTAGGGATCAGGGGCAGGGCCAATAAGGAAGACATCCTGGTGGGAGTCTGTTATAGTCTGCCTAACCAGGATGAAGAGGCAGATGAGGTGTTCTACAAACAGCTGGCAGAAGTTGCACTGTTGTCAGCCTTTGTTCTCATGGGGGCACTTCAACTTCCCTGATGAATGGGAGTATCCTCCCCCCTGACCTGGAAGTGTTGGATGTGGAGAAGAATAAACTCCCCATGATTCAGGTGGAAACCGTGAGAGACCTACTACTCCTCCTGGAGTGCCACAAGTCCATGGGGTCTGGCTGGGATCCACCCGAGGGTGCTGAGGTTGCTGGTGGAGGTGATAGCCAAGCTGCTTTCCATCATCTATTGATGTTCCTGGTCAACGGGGGGGTTGGAGACTTGCCAGCGTGACTCCCATTTTCAAGAACAATTGTAAAGAGGATCGAGGAAACTACAGGTCTTTCAGGCTTGATGTTGGTGCCAGGAAAGGTTATGGAGCAGATCATCTTGAGGGAGGTTGAACAGCACACGAAGGACACCTGGGGGACCAGGCCTAGCCAGCATGGGTTCATGAAAGTTGGTCCTGCTTGACCAACTTGGTCTCCTTCTATGATTGGGTGACCTGCCTGGTGGATGGGGGAAAGGCTGTTGACATAGTCTACTTGGACTTTAGCAAAGCCTTCTACGCTGCCTCCCACAGTATTCTCTTGGAGAAGCTGGCCTCAGCAACCCCAGGCAACGTTATAGGCTTGGGGCAGGGTGGCTGGAAGGCTGTATAGAGGAAATGGACCTGGGGGTATTGATTGACACTCATCTGAACATGAGCCAGCAGTGTGCCCAGGTGGCCAAGAAGGCCAATGGCATCCTAGCTTGTATCAAAAACAGTGTTGTCAGCAGGAGTAGGGAAGTGATCATTCCTCTAAGGCTGCACCTCAAGTACTGCATTCAGTTTTGGGCTCCTCACTGCAGGAAAGGCAATGAGACCCTGGAGTGTGTTCAGAGACGGGCAACAAAGCTGGTGAGGGGTCTGGAGCACAGGACTTATGAGGAGTGGCTGAGGGAGCTGGGATTGTTCAGTCTGGAGAAGAGGAGGCTTCTTATCACCCTCTACAACTCTTCTAAGGGAGGTTGTGGTGACGTGAGAGGCAGCCTCTTCTTCCATGTAGCTAGCAATAGGACTAGAGGGAATGGCCTCAAGTTGTGCCAGGGGAGATTCAAGTTGTACGTTAGGAAATATTTCTCCGAGTGTTCAGGTGCTGGAATGGAATGTCCAGGGAGGGGATGGAGTCATCGTCCCTGGAGATGTTCAAGAAACTTTTAGGTGTTGTACTGAGGGATGTGGTTTAGTGGGGAGATATTGGTGATAGGTTGGACTGAATGATCTTAGAGGTCTTTTCCAACCATTGTGATTCTATATTTTATGATCATTTCCCAGCTGAAGTGTGATTCCTTTCAATACAGCATTGCAATTGGTTATTTTTAGTGTGGATGAAGTCAGTGCCACTGAAGTCAAATTTTCTTCATAGAAATGCTTGAATCTTTCAGCTTGTTCTGGATTATCAATAAAATAACCAGTTTCTATTATCTGCATTCAGTCAAAATTTAGTTAGACTTGTCTGATCAATAATCTATAAAAATAAAATGTTAACTTGTGAATCTCAGGATTTGTTTCTTGCACTTGGTGGTTTTGCGGGCATTGTAAAGAGTGGATTGTTCTTGGTAAGAAGCCAAGGCAAAAGCTAAATGTTGCTGTTTTTATTGAAATTTTTATAGCTACAAATAATAGCCTCCACCCATTTCTTGTAAACTTAAAAAGTGAGGTTTTTTTCTTTTAAATTACCTTGTAGTGACACTTTAATTGGGAAATGCATAGCACCTTTGTTTAAATTAATTTAAAAATTGAATTCATTCATATTTACAATAATGAACAAATTTTAATTATAGCCAATGAAAATTTAAAGAATAGATAGAGAAATAGCAGCTGTATTTTTTTGTTGTTATTCAATGCATTTCCAGCAGTTTCTGTTCTCCTTGTTTAAGCTGGCTAAAGAACAGTGTTCTGGACTGCATCACAAAGTGTATAGTCTTATTTAAATTACAAACCCTTAAAGTAGTTATAAACAATCTTGGAAGCAAGACATGCTTTATGCTTGTGTACTAAACTGAGTTTTATAATGAAAATTTGGCTTTGGCATAGGGCAGGGATCTTCAGCTTAGGAGTTGCTTGAAAGACTTTCACAACTACAAGACTTCTGCTGGTTGTAGCTGTTTTTTTCCAAGCCAGGATCTTTTTGCAAAGACTTGTCCATGTACTACGTAGCAAACAAGCTAGCAAGGTTAGTCGTGCTGTTTAGTAAAGAGCTGGTTGTCCAAGCACAGCATGAAGATTAAATCTGACACACTTATGTAAGACAGGGCACATGCATGAGCTCATGCTGATCACCGGCTGCATCTGCTAAATCTGATGTGTCCCTGCCACTTCTGTCATTAATCCATGTGGAAAGGCTGGTGCCACTGAATGGTGGACACCCCACTTAGAGCTTCTGGCTTGTCTACCTGAAGAACGTTCATCCTTTTGTACCACTCTCCTTATAACGTTTGTTTTCCCTGTCTTTTAGTACTTTACTTGAAAATTATGAAATATACTCAAGTCTCTGTAGTTATTTTAAAAAAATAGAAAAAAGAAGAAAACGATGTGATACGAAAAAATTGGAATAGTGAGTCTGTCTTCATACTGGGTGGTACTCTACTCTATGCATCCTCTGATTATGGAAAAAAAAATAATTAATTTTCACTGAATAAGCTTAGTCCGCTTTTTCCCCCTTAATTTTCAGAGTGTGGTGGTCGGTTGAAAGCTGAAACCAAGCCCAGAGATCTGTACTCGCATGCTCAGTTTGGTGATAACAACTATCCGGTTCAGGCAGACTGTGACTGGCTCCTGGTGGCAGAGCGTGGCTATCGAGTTGAATTAATGTTCCAGACTTTTGAGGTTGAAGAAGAGGCAGACTGTGGTTATGATTACGTGGAGCTCTTTGATGGTCATGATAAGACAGCTATGAGACTTGGTCGATTTTGTGGTTCTGGGGTAAGTAACCAAGTACTAAAGCTTTTCTTTTTATTTCTACAGTAAGTAATAAAAAGAAGGAAAAGGCATAGGAAGGAAAAGGAGAGATGAGCTTAAGTTACTAGATGTTATCTAATTATCTAATCCATTTTTTTTTTAAAGAAATTTACAGATATGGCATTTGAAAGCATTTCATTGAAATGTTTTCCACAGTAAATATTCTTGTCTACTTATTAAACAAAGTATTGTTATAGTATATTAAGTTTTAGATTGCTGACAGTGGAGCGTATATCAGTTCCTTTAGAAAAGGTAGCATCATTTTCTCTTACAGAGAAATGCAATGGTATTGAAAATTAATACATTCAAATTCCATAAATTTGAGTGAAGTCACATTTTATGGGGAAGAGGTACCCAGAAAGCATTTATAATGTACTCATCTATTGCTTCAAAAAGTTTTTTACAGCACTTACATAAATACTGTTCAGTCCCAGAGCTCACGGTTGTGAGAGGCTGGATACTAGTAAAACCCCCCCCAAAATTTTAATGGATAGAACTTCCACCGGTAGACCAAAGTTCAAATATCTTGACTTAAACTGGTGTCCAGCTTTTAGGAATTTAGGTCAACAGATAATTTACTTACTGTTGTTTGTTTTTTTTTAAATTTATTTTAGCCACCAGAAGAAGTCTATTCAGCAGGGGAAACTCTTTTACTTCACTTTCACACTGATGATACAATCAACAAGAAAGGATTCCATATACGATACAGAAGTATAAAATATCCAGATAGTGTGCGTACCAAAAAATAGCACAAGAACCTCTATTCAAGAGGAGAGCAAGACAAAAAAGAATGCACAGTGGAAAGGAAGTCATGTCTTTTTTATTTAACTGAAGTTATTAGCACAAAAGTTTTATATGAATCCAATTGAAATGATGACTTACAAGACCAGAGACAAGAAAAAATAAAAATAAATACCTATCCCAATGGAATGCACAAGATGGTGATGTGCAGGCTCCATACTTGACTGTCTCTGCAAAGGTGGCGAAAGGACTTTGCACACTTCCAGGAGAATATGAAAGCTTTTGTTCATGGTTTGACATTTGTCATAGATAAGTGAACATTCAATTATGTTCAAGTGAGGTGACTCTACAAAACGTTCTTCCTTCTGACGGTTGTATGGTGTCCAGGAGAAAAGAAGAAGAAAGCTGTTTCAGGTCATGCATTCAAAATACTGTCCTTACATCTAATTGCTTTAACTTTATATCCTGCAGACGGTGTGTCTAAAGACTTGAAAGAAGATATGAAATTGGAAGGTTTCCCACATCGCTCTGTACTTTTTACCTGTTCCTCTGTCGTATCAGGTTATCAGCATTTTGAAACTGGAAAATCTTACTTCTGAAACATAAAGAGTATTTTGTTTTACTTATGACTGAGAAGTCTGAACTGTTACATTGGTCATCATTAGCTTGACCAATCACTAGTTAACTGAATTTGAACAATGTAAGCATCTGAAAATGTTAGGTTTGCTGGTTAAGTAAGCTATGTCCGATGATGTGCTCTTATTTTGCACTGAACGTAGAATATAGACTGAGATGAAAACCTATCGTCAATCAAATCTGTATCCATGAGATATAGTTTTGTCTGAAACTCCTACTGAATTTGTTTTCAACAGGACGCTTGGAGCCACTGCGAAGCTTTATTTCATTGGACCTCTTTGTTAATGAGCTAATTGTCTTGTTTAGCTAATCAGAAATGAAGCTATAGTGGTATCCAAGTGGGAGGTTTCCTTAAGATATATATATATATATTTTTTTCTGAAAGGAAGAGTATCTGTGATGATGAAAAAAGCAAAACAAAACAGTGGACCCTGGATTTGTTCCTTATCAAGCGTGAATTCCTATGGTGCTATTCCGTGAACATTAAAAACAACAACAACAAAAATAACCAACAAGAAGTTTTAGACTTTTGAGCCAACAGCTTGCAAGATCATGAATGTCTCACTATGCCTGGCTGAATCCAGAGAAGGAAGGCTTTGCTGCTCTGAGGGAGGGCAGGTTGCAATGGCAGCACTAGTCCTGTGGAACAACTACTACTATTGCCTTAGAATCCTCGCACACTATCAGACAGATCTTCCTGTGGATACACCTCTAATTTGATAAATAAGTCAATGACTTGGACATTTTAGCATATGCTAAGGGAAGGATCTTCAAGCAAAATCCCCATCTGCAGAACAAGATCATCTGCCTGTAAATACACAGTGACTTGCTTTTGATGTAGAGATATGTTACGTTTAGAACTGAGGTATTCTATGTGCTTTAGGCCGTACATGGCTTTAGTCATAATGTATATGCTTTATGTAAGTATTGTATGTATGACTGCTTCAGGGGAGTGAGAGGTATTGTATGGATGAACACTGAATTGTTTCTTTATGTGCCAAGTTCTATCAGGACCCCATTTGACTGTAGCAACTTTTCTTTAAAGGCTTCATAGACAGATAACGGGACTTCTAGCTGGCAAGAACCAAGTTAAAGGTATTATGTTTCACTCTACAAGAAATACTATTTTGATATCCTTTCTTGTAAGTTGCTACTCAGATTAGCTTAGTTTCTGTTACCTTATTATGAACATACATTGGCACTAATAAATCTGATCTTTTTTTATAAAAATAAAAACCAAATGTCTGTATAGTTGTCTTTGGCTGCTTTAACACCTGTATTTCTGTTTACATCTTACCATTTTCTTTTCCAGACAGCTTATGCTTATGAAACTTAAAACTGAATGATCTCTGTATTTTTATAATGCTGATCCGTTGTCCTTTTGTTTGGTTCACATTACAGGTTGTTTGCACATGAAGTACATTTTTTTCAAGGTCTTTTACTACAAAATCCAGTTAGGAAACTTACTGTGCATAGATATAAGAAACACCTTTTATACATATAGACTATGTGTAACAATAAATATATATTCTTAATGTTGATACATAATTTCTGTACCATTTGCTGAACATTTTTTTAAAAATCTTCCTGGTATTTAATTTTTTTTTTTTCCCCTCCTTAGGGTTACTTTAGCAATCACAGATTGTTAAAGATTTTGTAACCAAGATTATTAATTTTTTTGTTGGTGGTGATTCACTCAGGCCTCTGTATGTGTGTACAAATCCTACTGTCCTGTGTATAATAGTGTCACTGGGCTAGTTGGGGTCTCACAAACTGAGGGCAAGAACACCATTATTTCCAAGACCCTGTGGAAACTGATTGTATGGGGACATATCAAAGTTTTAAGTTTTGAGCACAGAATATTTAGGGTTATTTTACGCTGTGACATAGAAGTCACGAGAAGGTTGCCATAACTTTGAATATGAAGTTAAATTTTACTTCTCTAATGGCTTGCTTGTAGATTCCATGTGCTTAACAGTGGTAAAAATGAAGAAAGTGTTCTTAGTGATTATTTTGATGATTAAAATTCAATCTCGGTTACATCTTTTCATTGACCACGATAGTAAATATTTCATGATGCTATGAGAAGGAGTAAAGAGTAAAGAGGTTTTTCCTGAGGTAATGAAAATCACATATTTTGTGAACTCCTTGTGTAATGGAGCATGCTTTATAGTTACCCTAACAATGAGAAAATAGCGAAAAAAAAAATAATTTATACTGGAGAAATTGTGAAAAACGATGTGGCCTTCCCAAAAAATCTTTGAGAAATTTTTTCACAACACAGTATTTAAAGGTCTTACTTGTTGGCTACTCCACAAAACAGCATTGCTTCAAGCATAGTTCAATTTAAGCAGCTTAATTAAATAATAATGATTATAAAAAATAGATTAATTGGATGGAAGCTTTATCTGCCTAATTTCTGTAATTTTGCTACATTACATGAAAGAAAGGTGCAGTCATCAGCAGAATCAACAGTGTCTTTCATATATATATTATATTTCAATGCATCCTTTGTACACATTAAAAATGCTTTATTGTTTTCACTTACCTGAAGGAAGAGTTAGATGATAAATTAAATTGGACAATGTATTTATTTTTTTTTTTTACCAGAGACCTGAAGATAACCTAAGATATGTCTTTTAATGGTGAGTAACTGCATGAGTTGTGAGGAGGATTAACAGTGGGCAATAGTTCTTCCAGTTTTGTTCCACCCCCAACCTTGCCCCATCACTCTCAGGCTTTGCTGTTCTGAGTTGAATATTTGGGACAACACATATTTTATTCTTGTGATTTGGTTCATCTAATGAAAAACATAGGCAAGGAATTACATGGAATAACAGACTGAATGAAGTCTGATTAAAGCAAAAAGAAGAAAGGAAAATGTATTTTGCAAGATTGCCTAATTACTCCTGGTTCCTTGATTGAGCTCACAAATAAAGCAAGCTAAGCAGATGCAAAAATATACTGTATTGTTGGGTGGACAGTGAAAAGGGAAACATTAGATAGGCTTAGGTCTCTCTCTCTTAATCCCACCTCTACAACTGCTTTTTCTCATGTTTTCTACTTGTCTTGTAGATGGTCTGGTTTTGTAACTCATCAAATCCTGTCCTAATCTACGATATTAAGTAGATAAGCTTCTTTTTTCTCTTCAGTGACCCTTGGATAATAATCATTCTTCCTATAGTGCTGGAACTCTCAGGAAGGATTATTGCTTGTATGCATTTATATTGGAGGGTGTTTGCCATGTGATGGCAACTTCTGAAATACAATACTAGTGATCATTGTGAATGTATGATTTTCTTGTAGAGCTTGCATCCTGGTTTTTCTAGCAGAATACTGATAGAATTTATTTTTTCTCATCACGTTCCAGGTAAGTGGTCGCATGGTGAAATGAAATGGAGTTACAGTGCTCAAGAAAGAAGGAAAAAAGGACATTTTGTCTCTTGCACAGCGTGTGATTCTCACAGAGGAGAGTAAAATGGTTTAGGATATATTATGAGAATATATACAGGAGTAAAAGGACAGATTTGAATAATAAATACGTAAGCTGAGCTATGAGAGACTCTCAGTGTTAGAGATGAAATAGTTTCCTGGGATTGATAGCCCCATCTCAGGTACTAAGATCTATTTTGTACTGGGTATTGACCAATGGAGCAAGAGTAGCACCCAAAGGGGTATTTCAATCATGAAAGTCTGCAATAAAATCTGTGGAAAGCATTTGCCGTTTGGTCAGTGAATTTGGTAGTAATAATGATACACTTCTTGTACTTAAAATAACTAAAATTGGAGAAGATACAAGCACTATGACAGTAGACAGAAAACAGTAATTGTTTACATCTACAATCGGGACACTTCTCAACCAAACTCAAAACCAGAGTTTTAAAGTATAGCTGGTGATAGAAGTTGCTGAACAGCCTTTATTAAGTTGATATTCTGATTACAGGGTGAAAAATTTATCTGAAATACTTAGCACTATTAATATACTTGCCTTTTTTAATGCTGGTATCTTTGAATTATCATGATGCAAACTACTTCTGTTGGTGAAATCCGTAACTTCACCTCTATGTAAGAAGACGAGAAGGAAGAAAATTCCTTATTGAAATAATTAGTTACTTAAAAATTCTCGTTGTTGTGATGTCTTCAAAGGCAACTATTCTGGGGATATTTCTAGATAATCATAACTCAAATGCCAATTTTTAATATTTCTCTGTGAATCTTCCTTTGAAGTGCTGCACCATGGGCACAATATTTAGAAAAATATGCATTTTAGACAAAGATTAATATATTCTGGAGTTTCTTGCTCAGTTTGACTTATAATGAGATATTTTAGTGTTAACCTGAGGTTACAAGTTTTTAAAACAATAATCTGTTCAACTGCATTGTTGAAAGAAACTTCTTTGTGTGTTAAAGGAGAATCTTAAAATTAGAGAAATTTCCTGACTACTAAATGAACTTAAAAATGTGGTTAGTTACTGTAGTCCCTATTTATGATGAAGGTTGAAGGGAAAAAGGAAGGGGTAACTTACAGTACTGAAAATCTGGCTCATAAATCTTTGTATCACAAAGGACATGTTCGTATTATGTATAGGCATATACATTTTACATTTGTTTTTACCATGCCATTACATTTTGCTAATTTTACTGTCTATAGAATCTTGCACTTGTTGCATAGTTTTTGAAACCACCAATGTTTCAAATTTTGAAGAGTTTGCTAACTTTAATTTCACAAGACAGATGGGGAAGGCTTCAAGGTGTGCGTGCT